AACAATACACCAAATATCAAATCAATATCTTCAAGCATGAAGAATTAATGTGGATAGAGTCCACATGTGGACACAGACGATGCCCCCGCTTGCATAGCATATAGTTATAAAGGGACATAACTGAAGAACGGTAAAAGTGACACTACCCTAATTTGAACTTGATCCGAGTTTTGTGGTAAATAGCATTGTGTGTAAGTCTCATAACATTTGGTTGAGGCTAACTTTAGTAGAGAACAGAAACTAAAAATTCAGCAATTTTTCTATTTGAAAACACGCATAACTCTAGAATGGTTGTGTATAAGTTTTATAACATTTGGTTGAGACAAACTAAAGTTAGAGAACGGAAATGAAAAATTCAGCAATTTTTATTTTTATAGAGGGACATAACTCAAGAATGGTAAAAGTGACACCACCAAATTTCGTACTTATGTAGTAATAAGCATTGTGTATAAGTTTCATAACATTTGGTTGAGGCAAACTAAAGTTAGAAAACAGAAACAAAAAATTTGTACTTGATCTTAGTTTTGTGGTAATGAATATTGTGTATAGGTTTCATAATCTTTGGTTGGGGCAAAATAAGTTACAGAATGAAAACTAAAAATTTTGCAATCTTTCGATTTATAAAGGGGCATAACTCAATAATGGTGAAAGTGACACTATCCAAATTCAAGTTGATCTGTGTTTTATCAGTGGAAGTCAAAATTAAACATTGCATTGTATAAAGCATTGATTGTAGTTGATTCAACTATAATCATGGACAAAGGAAGATAACTCCAATTTAAAAAAAAACTTGATATTTAGAAGAAAATAAAAATTTTGCAATTTTTCCATTTATAAAGGGGCATAACTCTAGAACGGTTAAAGTGACGCCACCAAAATTCAAACTTGATCTGTGTTTTGTGGTAATAAGCATTGTGTATAAGTTTCATAACATTTGGTTGAGGCAAACTTAAGTAAGAGAACGGAAACTAAAAATTTTGCAATTTTTCCATTCATAAAGGGGCATAACTCTAGAATGGTTGAAGTGACGCCAACAAAATTCAAACTTGATCTGTGTTTTGTGGTTACAAGCATTGTGTATAAGTTTCATACTATTTGGTTGAGGCAAACTTAAGTTAGAGAACAGAAACCAAAAATTTTGCAATTTTTCCATTTATAAAGGGGCATAACTCTAGAATGGTAAAAGTAACGCCACTTAAATTCAAACTTGATCTGTGTTTTGTGGTAATTAGCATTGTGTATAAGTTTCATATCATTTGGTTGAGGCAAACTCAACTTAGAGAAAGGAAACCAATTTTGGGACGTACGGATGGACGTACGTACAGACGGACAAGGGTAAAACTTAATGCCCCCACGGCCTAAAGTCTCCTTCAACTTCGTCGGTAGAGGACTAACAATCATACCAAGTATGAAAGCTTTCTGTAAAATGGTCACCAAGGATTAATATGCTTGGGACTGCACAAAGTGTGGAGATAGTTATTATGGATGACAGCAACTAGTTACAGGCACATAAAGAATATGGCAAAGTTAAAACATGTTTGTGAGCACTCAACCTTTCCCTAACCTTATACTGTGGACTAACAGTACAACATAAAAACAATTGTAATAATCCATTGAAAAGGGCTGGACTTACCAAATCAGCATTAAGCACTAAAATCAAGGCAAAGGGTTTTTGGCTTTACCTTTGGTTCTTTTTGGTTTTATTGTCTTGCCTGTGAGGAAAGTGCCCTGTCTATTTGTAAATGACTCAACAAACAAAGAAATATTTGAAGTCAATCTGTATTTTCATTATAATAAGTAACAACAACTGAAGCATTATATAAATACTGTCAAATTACTTACATTACACATTTCATGATTTATTTTACAAATGGTGCACATTTCACTCTCAGGCCAGTTATAAATAAGTTTTAGTTGTATGATATTTAGTATTCAGATTACATCTGATTATTATTGTAACAAGTTGAGTATGAAGTGTACCAAGGAGTGTAATATAACAGTTATATCAAATTACTAACAAATCAATTACTTTGAGAAAATTCAAAATACCCTACAACCTCCATATTCTTATACTGTATATTCAGAAATTACTGAATTTACACTACTCCATTTCAACCTCATTTATGCATAATTTTCATTATTTTTTTTATTTTTTTATAGAAAAGTATAATTTGAAGTTATTCAAAACTGGCCACTGATAGCTAACAAAACTAATTAGCCACATATCTAACCTGATTTTCAATAAAATGAAAAAAATTATCTCTTATCTTATAAAAAGATTATATTGTATTGCTTTCAATGGAACTATCATAGATGATGAATGTATTACAAAAATCACAGCTTGATATCAACAATGAAAAAAATATATGGCATGCCGTATCAACCTGAACTATTGAAAACTTTTCTGTGTCAATGTTATTTTAAATATCTCAATGATTTTACTGTGGATCAACTTTTATATTTATGCTTACTATGAACCTTTAGAAATCGTTTATTTGTTGTATATCAACATGGTCGTTTTGTAGTTTACTGCAAAAAAAATTAGAAAAAAGAAAAAGAAAATTAAATTGACATTATTTTGTATACCTAACAAAATACAAAAATTATTTTCACTCACATTAAGCTTGCCACCACAAATTTATATGTACTTATGTTATCCCCAAAAAGATTTTCCCTAAAAATGAAATACAAAGGTCCACAAATAAAACATGTTCATAGAATACATATGAAATAGGCCTTAAAACTGTAAGTAAAAGATTTGTTTAGATAAAACACTTTTCAAAAGAATATTTCATATGAAATCAATTTACCCATAGAATATTTTTATATTATGTGTTTTTATAGGTGCATTTATAAGACCTTAAATTTTACAATCATTTACAATCTATTCAAATAAATTAGGTGTAATCCTAATATTATTTATTTTACATTTTGATATAAATAGAAGAAAAGTGATTTGATGGTTGAAATATTCTTTTTTATTTCTCCATTATAAATCTCATTGATCATTCAATTTCGTATTTTCTCCTTTAGTATAAACATGAAAGGACATCAATCCACATTAAACGTACACGATTATGGTGCCGGTGAAACAAAAAAAGTAATTTCTACAAAGAATTAAAACAGTAAATGTGATAGAAAGGCACTAAATTTAAACATGTTGATGAGTGAGTTATTTAAAGTATCATTTCAAGATTTACATTTGCAAGGCAATTACAATGAATTTGATGTCGGTTCAATGTATTGTGTCATCAATTTTCAGACATCTAAACCTCATTAATTCAATGATAAAATAAACTAAGGAGTTAATTTTTAGTCAAAAAGGTTATAGGTAAGTATAATTATCATACATGAGAAACCAGAAGTTTTAATATGTGAATATATGATCTAGGTTCTAATTTTAACCTCGTAATAAAATGCTCTGCTGGGCGCAGCTTGATACGACCGCAGAGGTCGAACCCTGAACAGTTGGGGCAAGTATGGACACAACATTCAAGCTTGATACAGCTCTGAATTTGGATTGTGATTAAATATTTGACACAGCATAGGTTTCTGACACAGAATGAATGTGGTCTAAGAACTTAAAAAATTTTAATTTACCTATTATGGTCCAATATCCAAAATCTAAATACATACACGGTTAGATTCAGCATATCAAAGAACCCCAAGAATTCAATTTTTGTTAAAATCAAACTAAGTTTAATTTTGGACCCTTTGGACCTTAATGTAGACCTATTTGAAAACAGGACCAAAAATTTAGAATCTAAATACAAGGTTAAATTCAGCATATCAAAGAACCCCAATATTTCAATTTTTGATGAAATCAAACCATATCATTATTATTTGCTTTTATATATAAATAAAAAATAACCAACTTAGGACAAAAAATCCCCCCCCCCCCCCAATTTTTTTAACCCCCTTATGATTCATAACCCCCAAACTCAATCCCAGCCTTCCATTTGCGGTATGGTACCTTGTAGTACAATTTCATAAAGATCCATATACTTACACACAAGTTATTGTCCTGAAACTAGAAAAAGGCTTGTTTTTTGCCACTTTTTGGCCCCTTATTCCTAATATTTTGAGGCAATTACCCCCAAAATCAATCCCAGCCTTCCTTTTGTGGTATGGTACCTTGCAGTACAATTTCAGAGAGATCCATACAATTGAACACAAGTTATTGTCTGGAAACTAGAAAAATGCTTATTTTTAGCCCCTTTTAGGCCCCTTATTCCTAAACGTTTTGGGCAATTACCCCCAAACTCAATTCCAGCTTTTCCTTTGTGGTATGGTACCTTGCAGTACAATTTCAGAGAGATCCATACAATTGAACACAAGTTATTGTCTGGAAACTAGAAAAATGCTTATTTTTAGCCCCTTTTAGGCCCCTTATTGCTAAACGTTTTGGGCAATTACCCCCAAACTCAATTCCAGCTTTCCCTTTGTGATATGGAACCTTGTAGTACAATTTCAGAAAGATCCATACACTTACACACAAGTTATTGTCATGAAATTAGAAAAATGCTTGTTTTTTGTCCCTTTTTTGGCCCCTAATTCCTAAAATTTTAAGGCAATTACCTCCAAAATCAATCCCAGCATTCCCTTTGTGATATGGAACCTTGTGGTACAATGTCAGAGAGATCCATACACTAACACACAAGTTATTGTCTGGAAGTTACAACAAGAGTGCACACACTGAAATGTCTCGCCTTCTTTACTAATCATTGATATTATGTTGATAGTCCTAAATATAAAGGTTTATTACAACTGTCACATAAACTTAACATTAACCAAGTAAACTAAACATTGACCAATGAACCATGAAAATGAGGTCAAGGTCAGATGAACCATGCTAGGCAGGCATTTACAGCTAACAATTCTTCCATACAACAAATATTATTGACCTATTGCTTATAGTTTAAGAAAAACAGACCAAAACACAAAGACTTAACACTGAGCAATGGACCTTGAAAATGAGGTCAAGGTAAAAAAAAAAAACCTGCATGACTGACAAATATATCATAAAATATTTCCATACACCAAATATAGTTGAACTATTGCATATAGTATTAGAAAAAAAGACCAAAACTCAAAACTTAACTTTGTCCACTGAACCATGAAATTGAGGTCAAGGTCAGATGACACCTGCCAGCAAGACATGTACACCTTACAAGCATTCCATACACCAAATACAGTAGACCTATTGCATACAGTATAAGAAAGGTCAGATGACACCTGCCAGCAAGACATGTACACCTTACAAGCATTCCATACACCAAATACAGTAGACCTATTGCATACAGTATAAGAAAAACAGACCAAAACACAAAAACTTAACTATAACCACTGAACCATGAAAATGAGGTCAAGGTCAGATGACACCTGCCAGTTGGACATGCACACCTTACAGTCCTTCCATACACCGAATATACTAGACCTATTGCTTATAGTATCCGAGATATGGACTTGACCACCAAAACTTAACCTTGTTCACTGATCCATGAAATGAGGTCGAGGTCAAGTGAAAACTGTCTGACCGACACGAGGACCTTGCAAGGTACACACATACCAAATATAGTTATCCTATTACTTATAATAAGAGAGAATTTAACATTACAAAAAATCTTAACTTTTTTTTCAAGTAGTCACTGAACCATGAAAATGAGGTCAAGGACATTGGACATGTGACTGATGGAAACTTCGTAACATGAGGCATCCATATACAAAGTATGAAGCATCCAGACCTTCCACCTTCTAAAATATAAAGCTTTTAAAAAGTTAGCTAACGCCGCCGCCGCCGGATCACTATCGCTATGTCGAGCTTTCTGCGATAAAAGTCGTAGGCTCGTCAAAAATGCTTATTTTGGCCCCTGATTCCTTAAATGTTGGTACCATAACCCCCAAAATCTATCCCAACCTTCCTTTTGTGGAATTGAACCTTATGGTCCTTACTCCGGACGACAACGAAGCCAACGTCATACCAATATACAATCGCAAAAATTTTTTGCGGTCGTATAAAAATAGCTGACTTTCCATAGATATTTCTTGTCCCTGATTATATCCTAACTTGCCTTACAGTAATTTCACACAACTTTACACAGGAGACTTTTTTAGGGTGAAGAGTGGTTTATTTTTTGCAGATAGCAGATATGATTAAGAATAAAGAATTCTTTTAAAACATTGACTGTCAAGAAACTCAATAATAAAAGGCAAATCTCAAAACACGTCATCAAATATGAGTTATGGGGTCTTATTACCCATAATCCTTCACTTGCTTCAATGTCAGTTTCAGAGTATTATGATTTATATCTATAAATGATTAAAAAAAAACATGCAACATAATTTTTCAATTCCTTTCTGTGAGAATCTCCAAAAACAAAATGATCTTACATAAATGAATTCAAATGCTTATTTGCTGCAAATATCTTTTGCATTTTCTGCATACAAAATAATGAAACCTGAATCAAGTGAATGTCAACATTCATAAATCTAACATCTAAAATATCACAACATAACATATAAACATGAAATAAGAGCACTGCACTGTCATCGTGGATGTACTACATCCCATTAGAGTAACATCAATAGATTTGCTTGGTACATACATTTTCTGGCATACTTGGTAATAGCATGCATATATTTTGTTTTAGTTTTCAAAGAAAAATTGTATTACAGAGAAATAACTATAATTTTACATGTTTATTTTTTTTTTTTAAATAAGTCTGCAAACCCATTCCTTTAAAGTTAATTTTCTATAAAAATATGTATACTATATTGTGCTGTAATATTTAAATTTCTGGATTGTGAATTTGTGATCCAACTTTTTCGGGGGGTACTTTAGCAAATCTTATTTTTAATTTTTGCCCTATTTGTAAAAACCTCTCTCAAACTGAAAAAAACAATAAAAAACAACTAAAATTTAATTTTTTTTCACTCTCACTGAATATAATTTATAGCACTATCAATTCTCAAAAATATTTGTTGATTCAAAAAAGTGTAGACCTACAAACTTTTTTTTAAATATTAAGAATGGCATAAAGCAAATATGTATATGGCAAAAATGTATATAACTGATGTACACATCTGACAGTACAGCAATAAAAAGAAGAAAATTTTGATTACAAAGATTGAACTCACTGCTTACAATGTAACATTAAATCCTTTAGAGTTAAATAGTATAAACGAAATACATGTAAACTTATACATGTCATACAATGCACTATTAACTTATACATGTCATACAACGCACTATTAAAAGTAAACATTAATCCACAATTTACACAATAAAATAAGGTATCTGATAAAATAAAAATGAAAGATGTGTTTAACATAAAATAAATACTGCAAATAATTATCACTATCAAAAGTAATCTTTTCTAACCTCTTTGGTGTCTTTGTCAAATACTCATTTTTTAGTCAAGTAAATTATCAACCGACCTTCAACATGTTTAAAAATATATTGCCATGTTAAAAATCTATTTACTGGTTCTGAGGTACTAAATTCAAAATTTTTTTTTAAAGTTTGTAATTTATTCTATGAATATATTAACGTCAACTGGTATTGAGCATCACAGTTTAGTAATCTTTTTTCTAAATATGTCATATGACTTTTAAGAATCGTATGGTTTCAGGTTGATGTACAAAACACTGAACATAGAAATAAAACTAGATAAGTATACAGATCCATTTCATACTGCATTGATTTTACTAATTTAGAAAGCATACATGAATGCTATACAACACTGTTAACCAACTAGATTTTGTGACTTAGGCGAGTAGAAAAATAACATGAATACAAGGATGTTATCTTTGATGTATGAATTGTAACTTGACAGGTCAAAACTAGATATAAGAAAAAGAATGACAGAAAAATGTACACATCCATCCATCTACTGTTCAATCAGTTATACATGAAGTTTACGTAAAACATTGTGAACTCAGCTCAAATCTAAATACAGTGTATATATATAAAAGATTCTGACAACTGATTATACCATTGTATACTGTGGATTCATCATTAGTCATGTGATACAAACTTTTGTGCATTTCTTGGGTCAAGGTGAACCACAAATTTTCTATAGACTTTTATGTCTCGCAAAACCATGATATCAAATATCCCTAAAAATACAATTTTCCCTCAATCCACGAAAATAAATGAATCCACGGTATAGCTGTGAATTAAATAAATATCAAAACTGCAACAAATTCACTAATTGAATCCAGACCCAGGTTTATTTGTAGACACAATTGTTACATAATGAATCAAGCAAAATATTACATGCCTTTATTCAGATCACTTCAATTATAACATACATTTAATTCCAGCAAGGCACTTTTACAGAGCAGATATAAGCATATCAATTTAGTGGTTTGGTACACTATATTACTTTACTACTTTTTTAATGCAAGAATATTGCAATAGTCAAGGCCCTTTTAAAACAGATTTTCTCAAAAAGTGCTTCAATGATGAGTCAAGCCCTTTCCAACTGATCTTTAGAGTTTTTCACATTTTATCATCCTGGAACCTGTTACTGCTGACTATATGGTAAAAGTTTTGCTCATTGTATAAGGCCGTTTATAATCAGTGGTTAACATCCTTGTTTTGTTAATCTTTGTGGATATCATACCACATCTCCTCATTTTTATTTTTATAATAATGAAACATCCCACATTAAAAACTTGATTGATTGTTGGTTGCTTAACTTGAGGATTCTGACTTCAAAGTGAGCAGCGTCTTCTCTGGTCTCAAATGTATGTTGTAGCTGAAAAGTTCTGTAAATGTCAAGTTACATCAATAGATATATCTAACTGTTGTGACTTTGCAATTTTTTGTGGATATTTCTTAACAAAAATATAACCATGTGATGAACATTGTATCATATTTTGTCTAATAGCTATACTATGTATCTCTTTGCAAAATGCACCATCTCAGGAACTATAAGAATAGTGTTAAATGTTCAATATACATATTGTATATATCAGATCATTTCTGTTACCATCGTAACACACATCACACAAAATTCTTCTTATAGTCTGTAATGACTTGTGTATAAAAAATGAAAGCCCAAGTATACTGTTTTATTGTTTGTCTCAGTCTTGTGGATGTTCTGGACATGATCTGTTTCTTTCAAACCATTTGTCTATACACCTAAAACACACAGAATAAAACATTCAGAAGATGCTCGAGCATGTGTTTACTAGTCAAAGATACCTCATATATGACCGAAATAAACTGTTGATACAGAGATGATTATTTTTATTTACTTGAAGAAGTAAATATTAATATACTTATATAGGTAAATTTGTAAGATACTTATACAAGTGTATTTTATTTACTTGTATAGGTAAATTATTTTAATGGCTTAGTTATGTCCCTTAAGACATTCAGATTTTTTTACTTATACAAGTAAAAAGTCATACTATCTTCTTATCTTGAATTTCTCAGGACTTCTTTGCTCTAATAGAATTTTTAATTCTCTGTCCTTTGCAGATGTCTTTACTAATCATTTAAGTGTAATTTCATGGACAATGAAAATCTCATTTGTCTGTTATCTTCAAAACACTGCTCATTTACAAGCCTCCAAGGGGCAATTTTTTAAGGCCTTGCGCAATTATTTAAGAACTTTGCACAATTAGTTTCTTTGTTGAATTAATGAGATGAAACGATGAACTCTAATAAAATATTATGAGCTAACCAGAGAAAAATTGTTAAAGGCATGTTTTAACATCCCAAAACTTGAGAATTTTAGTGATTGTAAAAAAAAATTACTTATTCAAGTAATTTTTTTAAGAAAATTAAGGGGAGATTATTCAAACCTTATAAGAAAATATGAATATAACAAATCTACTTATATAAGTATATTATTATTTACTTCTTCAAGTAAATAAAAATAACTTGTACAAGTAGTACCCCTGACTGACGATATAAATTTCATAAAAATCTAGCAAGAATTGTACACATGAGAGCGCTAACATTTGCAATTTTCCTTATAATTAATGTTTCCAAAGAGCATAAAACTCTTTTAAAAAAAAAAAATAGTTCATGATTTTCGAATCTGTCCGAGACATTGATGATATAAATCTATGATTTAAGTTTCATAGAATTCAGGCAAGAATTGTACATGTGAAAGCAGTATCAAGATTGGACGGACAGATGAACGGACGGATGACCGTTATTTCTATGTCCCCAGGAACATGTCGTGCAGGGGACAAACATGAGCAGAAATATCATACATGTTTTATTACTATTATGTTAATACAATGTATTAAACTTTAGCTGACTTGATAAACTTACGCTTTATGATATATACATAGGCATGGTAATCGTGCTATAGTGTCTCCTTGATTTAATTCATCAAAACATATCACACATTCTCCTTTGTCTTCTGTAAGAACATCTTCTGCAAATAAATATGCCACTTGACAATACTTGATTATATTATACACAACATGTAATTTTATTTATTTTTAAGAGTACTTTGTGATTATTTACCATGTAATTATACAAGCATGTTATAAAAGAGATTATGGGCTCTGAGCCGCTCTATTGGCACTAAAATCAAGTGTCTTTCAAATTGGTTTTTATTTGCAAAATTGAAAGTTGAGACTATGTACTTTTATTAAAATTTGAAGTTATGTACCGGTATACACTTTTCATATGAAAAGTAAAAAGTCAAAAATTCACATGTGAAAGTAAAATGGCAAAGGGTAGAATTTTTTACTTTTTACTTTCACGTGTGTAGAAACAATAGACAGCACAAGTGTGGCCCAAGCAGACATACTTACACAAAGTGTATTTTGTGTTTATCTATTCAATTGCAAAATATTTTTCTGTTTGAACCTGAGCTTTAATATAATATTTAGCAACAAAAATGTTTCCATAGTACACGGATGCCCCACTCATACTATCATTTTCTATGTTCAGTGGACCATGAAATTGGGCTCAAAACCCTAATTTGGCAATAAAATTAGAAAGATCATATCATAGGGAACATTGGTACTAAGTTTCAAGTTGATTGGACTTCAACTTCATCAATAAACTGCTTCGCTGAGCGCAGCTGGATACGCCAGCAGAGGTACAACCCTGAATAGTTGGGGCAAAAATGGACACAATATTCAAGCTTGATACGGGTCTGAATTTGGATTGTAATTAAATATTTGACATATAATAGGTTTCTGAATAATTGTAGTCAAAGAACTTGAAATTGGTTATATGAATTGAATTTATATTCAATTTTAAAGATTTCTTGCTGTTGTGCAATACACTATGCTGTTGCACAATACTTACTAAATCTGTTGTCATACTACAAACAAATAAAATTTATAAAATTCTAAAGGGACCTTACATCAATAGATATAATCAATTCCCCAAAGTTTCATAAGAATTGCTGAAAGCATTTTTGAGTTATTGTCTGAAAACTGGAAAATCCCCCCTTTTTTAATGAATAAAACCCCATAACTCGGAAATGTAAAATCTAAAATTTATAAAATTCTAAAGGGAGCTAAGGGATCATAGATTTATTCTAACGAGGAAGCTCCGAGCATGCTCGGAGGATGCTCAGAGCTTTTTCAGTAGGCTCTTCTCTGCAGTTTATGTGAAAATAATTATCATGATCCATTAAGATGTCAATCAAATCTACACCACTTCTATAATAAGGAAAGTTGAGCATTATAGAGGAAGCTCAATTAACACCTGTGTAAACATCTAATCTATTCAAATACATTTTGCCTGAAATTTTACAAAACTATAGAATAGATTAGAAATTCTTCAACAGTACTGTGTAATGCTTGGAAAGAAATCTCATGTCTCCACAAAAAGTGAAAGTCATTTGACAAAAAATATACAATTATTATATTTTTAAAATAATCATTTCTTTTTTTATAATAAAAAAAAATCTCAAATTATATAATTAGATGATATGATTTAAATATAGTTTATATTATATAATATGCTACATAAAAGTTATCAAGACACAAACAATAGTCAGTGGGCGATACTAAAAGAGTTATTTTTTTTAGTTACTTATATTAATAGGTATTTTTTGTTTTTTTAAATTATTTGATATAATCTCAATTGTTATTTTAAATGACAAAAGTGGACTAAATGTAGTTTTTAAGAATTTTTATATCATTTCATTAAGTAAAATTAAGTATTTATCCAACTTGAGATGAGTATAGAGAGATTACTTTAAAAATAATGACAAAAATATTACTTTTATAAATTATTTTATACATCTTCGAAAAACTAAGCATACTTACAATTATTTAAGGAACATATGTAATTGTTTTTGATAAATATTTCAAATTATAAATAACTTCATGTCTTAATTAAATCACAAGGTTCCATCCATTTATATTTGTTCATCTCTAAGATTTTGAAGGAAAATGTTATTTTAATAGCCCCAAGAGACCAATCTATGACCAAGAAGTGTGGCATCAGAAAGGCAATTAGTGTTTCAGGAGGATTTAAATAGTTTTATACTGCATGGGGAAAATAACCAGATGTGAAAATTTGTTAAAGCTTGTAGACCTGTATGAATGGACACCTATAGAAATAATATTAACAGAAGTTACTTATTCATGATATATAAGTAATATTTGAAACAACCTTGTTTTCAATATAACTTGTATAGGTTATTTTGAAAATTACTAGTTTAAGTAATGCCCTTAACTAAACAATGGTATTTTTTTTATAACATAGCAAAGTTAGTTTTTTATATAAAATATTTTTGCAATTTTAGGGGACATGACTACTAAAGCTTGTAAACAGAGAAAAAAAAAGGGGGATAGAATTTGGTTGGTTAATTCTGGTGATGTCTTCTTTCTTATATGCACAGAAAAATTATGTTGTTTTATTACTATAGAACAGGACAAGAAAAAACTTTACTCATGTCAAGTATTTCTTTATTTAAAACATAGATAAATTCTGCACATATTTTTGGAAAAATACCAATTAAACAAAGACTGATAGGGGGAAACAAATTTATATTAGATTTTCATTCAAGTACAGGTCAGGATAAAACTTCACTTATATAATTATGCTAAGTATTTCTTTATTTAAAATAAAACCAAATCTGCACAATTATAAAAAAAATTACAATTAAAGTGAGACGTACTAGAGGGAAAACAATGGTGGTATTACCTCCTCAACTTTTCTTAGAGTAGCCATAATTTTTTTTATAAAAAACTAACTTTGCTATTTTATAAAAAAAAAAAAAAATCATTGTTTTAATAGTTAGGGGCATTACTTAAACAAGTAATTTTCAAAATTACTTATACAAGTTACATTGAAAACAAGGTTGTTTCAAATATTACTTATATATCATGAATAAGTAACTTCTGTTAATATTATTTCTATAGGTCTCCATTCATACAGGTTTTACAAGCTTTACCAAATTTTCACATCTGGTTATTTTCCCCATGCAGTATAAAACTATTTAAATCCTCCTGAAACACTAATTGCCTTTCTGATGCCACACTTCTTGGTCAAAGATTGGTCTCTTGGGGCTATTAAAATAACATTTTCCTTTAAAATCTTAGAGATGAACAAATATAAATGGATGGAACTTTGTGATTTAATTAAGACTTGAAGTTATTTATAATTTGAAATCTTTATCAAAAAAAATTACATATGTTCCTTAAATAATTGTAAGTATGCTTAGTTTTTCGAAGATGTATGAAATAATTTATAAAAGTAATATTTTTGTCATTATTTTTAAAGTAATCTCTCTACTCATCTCAAGTTGGATAAATACTTAATTTTACTTAATGAAATGATGACAAAATTCTTAAAAACTACATTTAGTCCACTTTTGACATTTAAAATAACTATTGAGTTTATATCAAATAATTAAAAAAAAAAAAAAAATACCTATTAATATATATTAAGTAACTAAAAAAAATAACTTGTTTAGTATCGCCCCCTGACTGTTGTTTGTGTCTTGATAACTTTTATGTAGCATATTATATAATATAAACTATATTTAAATCATATCATCTAATTATAAGATTTGAGAATTTTTTTTATTATAAAAAAAGAAATGATTAATAGATATAATAATTGTATATTTTTTGTTAAATGACTTTCACTTTTTTGTGGAGACTTGAGATTTCTTTCCAAGCATTACACAGTACTGTTGAAGAATTTCTTATCTTTTCTATAATTTGTAAAATGTCATGCAAAATGTATTTGAATAGATCAGTTGTTTACACAGGTGTTAATTGAGCTTCCTCTATAATGCTCAACTTTCCTTATTATAGAAGTGGTGTAGATTTGATTGACATCTTAATGGATCATGATAATTATTTTCACATAAACTGCAGAGAAGAGCCTACTGAAAAAGCTCCGAGCATCCTCCGAGCATGCTCGGAGCTTCCTCGTAAGAATAAATCTATGATCCCTAACATCTATAGATATCAACAATTCATCAAAGTTTCATGAGAACTGCTGAAAGAATTTTTGAGTTATTGTCCGAAAACTGGAAAATCCCCCTTTTTTTTATGAATAAAACCCAGTAACTTGGAAACGTAAAATCTAAAATTTCTAAAAATCAAAAGGGAGCTCATGTCAATACTACAATAGCCAATTCACCAAAGTTTTATGCAAATTGGTTAAAGCGTTTTTGAGTTAATGTCCGACATGTTGACGACGGACGGACAACGGTATACCATAATACGTTCCGTAAACGGGCGTATAAAAACTACCTTGACCAAAAACTTTAACCTGAAGCGGGAAAGACATACGGACGGACAAACGAACGGATGCACAGACCAGAAAACATAATGCCCCTACTACTATCTTAAGTGGGGCATAAAAATGTTCCTACAATAATGAATAAAAGGCTAAGCTTGGTATATGTCAATGAGGCATTTATCCTACAACAAATATAACCAAAAGGCTTCCAGAGGGCCACATAGTCTTACACAATAGACAATTGTCTACTTCCAGGGGACAACATAGTCTTACACAATAGACAGTTGTCTACTTCCAGAGGACAACATAGTCTTACACAATAGACAATTGTCTACTTCCAGAGGACAACATAGTCTTAAACAATGGACAATTGTCTACTTCCGGAGGGCCACATAGTCTCATACAATGGACAATTGTCTACTTCCAGAGGGCCACATAGTCTTACACAATAGACAATTGTATACTTCCAGAGGGCCACATAGTCTTACACAATAGACAATTTTCTACTTCCAGAGGACAACATAGTCTTACACAATGGACAATTGTCTACTTCCAGAGGACAACATAGTCTTACACAATAGACAATTGTCTACTTCCAGAGGACAACATAGTCTTACACAATGGACAATTGTCTACTTCCAGAGGACAACATAGTCTTACACAATGGACAATTGTCTACTTCCAGAGGACAACATAGTCTTAAACAATGGACAATTGTCTACTTCCCGAGGCCAACATAGTCTTACACAATAGACAATTGTCTACTTCCCGAGGACAACATAGTCTTACACAATAGACAATTGTCTACTTCCAGAGGACAACATAGTCTTACACAATGGACAATTGTCTACTTCCAGAGGACAACATAGTCTAGCACAATGGACAATTGTCTACTTCCAGAGGACAACATAGTCTTATACAATGGACAATTGTCTTCTTCCAGAGGACATCATAGTCTTACACAATGGGCAATTGTCACTTCCAGAGGACAACATAGTCTAACACAATGGACAATTGTCTACTTCCAGAGGACAACATAGTCTTATACAATGGACAATTGTCTACTTCCAGAGGACAACATAGTCTTACACAATGGACAATTGTCCACATCCAAAGGACAACATAGTCTTACACAATAGACAATTGTCTACTTCCAGAGGACAACATTGTCTCACACAATAGACAATTGTCCACTTCCAGAGGACAACAGAGTCTTACACAATGGACAATTGTCTACTTCCAGAGGACAACATAGTCTTACACAATAGACAATTGTCTACTTCCAGAGGATAACATAGTCTTACACTATAGACAATTGTCCACTTAAAGAGGACAACATAGTCTTACACAATAGACAATTGTCCACTTCCAGAGGACAACATAGTCTTACACAATAGACAATTGTCTATACAATATGTCATCTAAATAGTCCCTGGTTCTATAACAGTTGCACAATTATAACCATGAAAACTGAAAATGAATAAACAAAATGATTCTTAACAATATGTAAATAGCAAATATTTCCCCTGAACAGAAATCTGACAAAAAGAGTATATTTCTGTTGAGAGTACCAACTTATTTCCAGGCAACATGGACACACAGGTATATATACTGAAATATTCTGGGAACAGCTGGTATCTTTATATGTAATGGTCAAGCATGGTCAAGGTAGTGACAAACCTATAAAATAATAATCTGGTAAAAACAGTGTCTTTTGGGTTCATAAAATCAATAACAATTTACAGAAATACATTTACCCAATTCTTGGAATTGGAAAGTCCTGAAAAATATTTTTTCCAAGGATGAAAGTTTTAAGAGTTTTAGAATGTTTTATTTTTTATGATTTAGATGACAATATCTTACCATTATAAGTAATCCTAGGTTTGGTTAAACATATGACTAGGTGACATTCCAAATCATCTGGGGGCACAAATTTGGAACACACAGGACACTTTATACCTATAATGGAAATAAACAAAATGTCAGGGAATTGAAACTCTGGAACACACAGGACACTTTATACCTAGAATAGAAATCAACAAAATGTGAAGGAATGGTCAAAATCTTACAGATGGAAAGTCTGGAACACACAGGACACTATACCTAAAATAGAAATCAACAAAATGTTAGGGAATGGTCAAAACCCTCAAGATGAAAACTCTGGAACACACAGGATAACTATCTTTCTTTTTAAAAGAACTATAAACTTATTGTTACAGCCTGAGTGTTATTAGCTTTGGACATACTAAAGTATGAAATGTTTTTGCTGAAGTTCAATCAAAGTTTTAACTCCTGATCAATTTATGCAAGATTTTGCAGTAAAAGGCTGCATTCATTTTTCAAATAAAGACATGTGTAATACTGTATAATGGTTTATGTTCAGTGTAGCAGACAGTAGATGTTGCTGATCATTTGTGAAATAACACGAAAAGCCAAGATATTATAACAAGTTAATGTGACTCATTCATGAATGATTTCTAAATCACTGATTCAAGTAACAATTTGGCCACAAATGTTGGAAGTGAGAGTTGTCTTTCTTTAATAATCACCTATTTAAGTAGTACAAATAAATCACTAGACTAAGTGATTTAATTTTATTGTAGCTTTAAATATACAATACTAATGATCCAGGAACTAATTATGTTGCTAAAATTATCAGAACCAACATCTGTGTTGATGGGATGACCGGTCATGTCAGGTGATGACTTTGTACTAAATCTGGGATAATGACATAAAAGTCACTTGTTTAAGTATCATACTTGTACCTCTATTTTCTTCCAAAAAATCACTTCTTTAAGTATTATTATTTTAATAACCCCCACTAATTTCAACACCCCCGAACAGTGAAATTTTGATCGGGAACAGTAAAATTTCATTACATAATCTGTAAGATGAAACCTTGAATTTTACAGGAAAAATACTCCCACTGCTGGGAAAAATCTGTTAAGAAAGTACCACTTCATTATGTAAAGCCTTCATCAGAGCATTTTTTCAACAAAAATAGAATTTACAGCTAAAAGGCGTAAACCTTTCTACTTAAAAGAAGCAAAAGGTTCATTTTTTTCAATTTTACAAATACATGTAATATTAAGATATATTCTAAACCTATGCGTTTAAAATTTTGGAAAAACTACAAAATCACAATTTGTGACAAAATTTCGAATTTGCTACATAAATAAGTGAATTTATAAATCACGTATTTCAGTTTTTCCCCTGACTGGTATACTCGGCTATAAAAGGCCCCCCTGACATGAAAAATGTAAAACAATACAATTGAAAAAATTAATGGCCTAATTTATAACAAAACAAATATGGCAAACATGAACCAATGACAACCACTGAACTACAGGCTCCTGACTTGGGACAGACACAAACATTTTTGTAAAGAGTGTGGCGGGTTTAAACATGGGGCAAAAAAGTCGCTTTTAAGGTCTGTCACTTCACTTTGCCTAACCGTCAAAAGCGAGATCTAGTCCCTCTGGTGTTCTAAATAGTCGTTTTGGTCATCAGCAATTTTCCATTTTTACCAAGTCAATAAAACAGCATTTTTTTATTTATAAGTAAAGAAATTCAAAGAAGCAATGATTTATTGCTATAGAAAAGCTCTGAAAGTATTGACTTTACAGATTGGTTGTATGTTATTTCAAAGAAACAACTTTAATGAGGTATTTTCTTTCACTTCCCGTAATTGTTACTCGAAAGCGTATATCAAAACATTCTGATTTTCGGCAATATAAGTTTGTTTCTTCATTAGAACGTGATAAAAATTGCCTTTAAGTAATGTTTCATCCATTTATTGCATTAAAAGCATCATATTCCTTTTCAAATCCCTTGTCAAACATTGTTTATTTTCTTTAATTTTCTTCGACCGCCATCGTATGTTCTGGTTGATACCTCCCTTATTCGGAACTCCCCTCGAAAGCTGCTATGGTACAGTGGTATCCATGAACACTCCCTCACAGGATTAGTGGAGATGTGTCACTAACATATATGTACAACCCACCACCAAGAACAAAATCCCCAACACAACACCCCGGGAGTGCTAGGACACCGGAAAGTCTGTTATAATGGTGGAGGAAGCCAAAGTACTAGGAGAGAACCACTGGGCAACTGGGCGTGAACAGACAAACCAAAGAGATATCTGAAGATTGATCTCCTGGTCAAAGTCAGGGACCACTTCGACCAACCGAGGCCCCCAAAGTACCCATTCTAGTTTAAACTCCTGTATAGGTGAAAATCTCCCTTCTAGTGTACTGAAATTTCCAGCGCTCTGAGTCAGGATCGAACCCAGGACCTTCAGCACTGTAGCCATTGGTTTTAACCACTAGACCAACAACCCACACATGATATATTGAAATATTTGTATTTGGATTCATCGAAAGCGGATCAGCTATGACCGAAATCTGCATTCTTAGGATGATAACCACAGACGCACCAATGGAACAACTGACAGAAGAATAATGATCCCAAAAGTTAAAATTTTGTATTCCACGCGCATACAAAACTTTTGGTTAGATCTCCTTCCTAAATGTTTATATTTCCATGTAAATGCATTGTTTCAATTTATTGATTAAATTTGCTTAACTTTGTTAAATTTATATATCTTTTTAATGAGAAACAAAATATTTCATAAACATGATAAACAGAATAGTTTTTTGGTTGAATTTTAATTGTTATATGATGCTTTCTTTTCTTTTTTGCTATAAAAAAGATCTTTTTAGTGCTAGATATATAGTTGGAAGTTTCTGACTAGTGGAAAAAATATAATTGAGTTACTATAAATGATTATTAAAGACATACATTGTAAACTGAAACAACTGTTACTTTAATTGTATTATCAGGTACATGTGTACAATGTATGAATTGAAAAATATAAAAGTTATAAAAACAGAATTAAATAAATAGGATGCTCTTTATATTATGGCAAAAACAAAACATTGTAGTGCCACGAGCGAATGAGCACTTCTCTTTCAAGTCTCACCACTTCTCCGTATCAGTTTCAAAAAGAGAAGTCACTTCTCCCTATAATTCTGAAGTAGTGTGAGCCCTGGAAGGCGCCAACCATTGAGCAACATTATTTGTTCTAAAAGTTCTTTCACAATTGTAGGTACATGTCTTAACAATTTTTCTTAGTATACATGTCCCTTCTCATACTCACCATGAAGGGCAAATAAATGTAATGGTAAAGAATGTGCTATGTTAGTTCTGCCAAAGATGGGGCCATCCTCAGGGGTACTAGAATCCGAGTCTGGAGAACCAGCTCCTCTCGCATCACCATTCCCATTTGGAATCCCCATTGAAGAACCTGCAACAAATGCACCAAGACTTCGTGCTCTCTGACGAGCGCCATTAGCTGTGCCAGACAACCCCATTTCAGAAGCACCATGACTTGTTCCAGGAGCACTTCCAGAAAAAGTTCGACCCCTTGGAGTGTTTGTACTTTGTTTTCCTCCCATTTTATTACGACATTTCTTTTGAAATCATAGTATCTTTTCTTACAACTGTCAAATTAAGGTAAGGGATACACGTTTTCATTTTCATTATAAATTGTTTGTTTATGTGGAATCATTGTCTTCCGCCATGTTGTCTTCCCTGTTTGCGTCATGGAACCAACACAAAAAATGACGTCAGTCATGTGATCAAAGTAAACTGAAACAAACTAAATGATAATATGTAAACATTGGGTGCTTTCTATGAAGTCCGCGTTTAAACTTGTTGTCGATGCCTACAGTAGTGTTCTCAAGGAGGTCCGCAATAATCTCTATAAAATCAACCAAAATTGTTAATGATTAGACAATGTTTTTTGTTAAAGGGAAGCAACTGTATATTTCCCGCTCAAAGTGTGAAGCAAAGAGAAACTAAGGTTGACAATCATGTCCAAAACCAAATCCACATTGAATTTAGTTGTAGCAGCTTGTAATAGTAGAGGCATAGGTATAAATGGGAAACTTCCATGGAGAATAAGGTATACATATGATGTGACATCAGACATTATCATATGTTAAGATTAAGTTCCCCTTTTCACTGCATCAATCTTGTCTGATATACATGACATATGAATATTTGATTGTTCGTGATATACATACAGTGCATACAAACATGCAGCAATATTATAGGTGCTGATGCAGCTCATTGTTCCTGTCCTGATTTTTTGGCACAGGAGCAGTGTGCTGTCCAATAGGCATGACACTCATCTGGTGGTGTGCAAGACAACACAGCCCAAAGAAAACTTGTGCTGTGTACAAAAAAAACAAAGCAAATAGTCTTTGAAGTCAACTCTGACCGTCTATAAAGTTAAGTTGAACCGCCTTTAAAGTCATTTCAGACTAAGTATAAAATGAGAGTTTGGATTTATTACATGTGACGGGATTGCTTCCTTGAATAGCAGATACTTAGTCAGCCGTAAGCCGTTGAGCTAAGGAAGAACTTCTTTAGCTCAGTCAGTTAGAGAGTTGTCTTGTAACACAGAGGTCCTAGGTTCAAGTCCCTGAGGAGACTATTTGATTTTCATGCTCTCCAGTTACATTTGGTGCCATATTAAAAAAACCACAGTGGTTAGAGAAGATTGATATCTAGCCAGGGTATCTGTTGTGAGAGTCATAATAGTATGATGACTGTTGAGGTGGGGAAAGTGTGATGGGATTGCTTCCCTTGAATAGTAGATACTTATCTGTAAGCTCAGTTGAGGTAAGAAAGTACTTCTTTAACTCAGTCGGTTAGCAGGTTAGAGTGCTGCCTTCAAGGCTTGTAACACAGAGGTCTAGGGTTTGAATCCCTGAGGAGACAGTGTGATTTTCTTTTGAGAATCAAGTTCTCCAGTTTATTCATATAATTATGTCACATTTTTTACATTTCATATCTCTGATAGGAGAATATACATGAAGGTACACAGGTAACTCACTAGTTAGAATTCATTTTTAGAATTGTGTGACTTTTTGCATTTCTTATCAAAACACTGGACATATCTGTGCCTAATGCCATGTACACATTAGGTAAATGGAAATAATTAGAATTGAATTCACATTAAACAAATTATTTTGAAAATGTTTTGCTAATTCAGCTACATTTAAAGGATTCCATCTTTTATTTGAAATATAACAATTTGTCATTTATAATCATTTTAAATAGTCCAAACTCTCTTTTTATACTTTATCTGAGTGGATATAGATGGTCCGAGTTGACTACTACTTTTGCAGTTGATCAGATTTGACTATTTGCAAATAAATACTTTCAAAAGTTGAAAAGTAGATTTAATCAGAAAAGAAGGTTATATGCAGATGTACCTGAATCTACAAATTCATTTAGTACCTTAACTAGAAATGAAAAATATCGAACATGTCAAGGGCACAGCGGTTTCATATATAATCAATATTATTATAATATTATATATATATTATTATATTTCCAAACTTTAAGTTAGATAAATTCACACAATATTGTATACAGCAAATGAATTACCCTGGTGCAATTTCAGTTACTTCACCATTTTTAACCTTGAACTTGTTAAATTGCACTAACTTTTGTTTTATTTTCACATTTTTTTTTTCAGGAAAGATATGGACTTTTTCAAAAAGATTACCATGGAAACAAAGAACCCAGGTAATTTACCAAGTTTCAGGTCACTTAAATATGTTTATATAAATTGCATTACTAAGACTATCACCACTTTAAAAAGAAAAAGTTTAAGCTTTTTCAGCTCACCTGGTCCTGTCAGATTTTCTCTATTTCAAAATAATGGACAAAAATTGCATTTAACCCTATGTTTTATTTTTAGCCATGTCAGCCATCTTGGTTAGCAGGCGGGGTTATCAGACACATTTTTTAAACTAGATACCCCAATGATGATTGTGGCCAAGTCTGGTTGTATTTGGCCCAGCAGTTTCAGAGGAGCTACTGGGCCAAATTTAACCAAACTTAATGAAAATCAGAAACCTATTCCATATTGGTTCCCAGTGACAAAATACTTAAAGAGTTAATAGCATGAATTTTAATGAAACTTATATTTTGTTAGAACATGTCCTGAATATTTTTTTGAGTCAAAATTTACAAACATTGATACCCCATGAAATGCATTGCTTTGTTAACATTGATCAATATTAATTATTTAGCTTCTGTGACTCACACAAAAATTTGCAAGCAGTTTCTCGACATTTAAGCCATCCAGGTAACTTAAAAACAGACTGGTGCTAGGGGTTGACTTAAACATGCAGTGAGGTGAGAGCTTTTATGTTCCATGTAGAAGGCCTTACTGTGACTTTGAGATGACAACAATGAAAGCACTATTCCTTTGCTTTTTGTGTTTTTTGCTGTGCATATACTGATTATGTGTCATGGATGGACCCCATATCCTTCTTCTCTATAAGATTATGTTTCTTCAAAGCAAACTTTAAAAAATAAATTTTTATACACATTCAGAACATTTCAGCCAAATTGGTTCTGATCTGCAAACATCTTACTGTATTTCTTGTTAAAACTCATTCAAACAACAGTTTAATTTAATTTCATATAAATCTCTCTTGTTTCTGTGTTTATTTACTTAAACTGCTAAATATGTCCTGACAGAAAACATTTGAGAACTTTACAACCATTGCTTTTCAAATTTAATGTTGTTACAGATTACAAAATTGAGGTCAAGTGTAGTAGTTTGGCTGAAGAATAAATGAAGAATTTTTATCCATTTCATGTCTTAACATTGCTTAAATTTTTGTTTACAGACAAGAAGAATGTTGTGATTATGGGAAGGAAGACATGGTTTTCTATACCAGAAAAGTTCAGGCCACTTCCTAAAAGAATCAACATTATACTCAGCAGAGAAATGAAGTAAATACTGAAAAAATATCTCACTTTTTGATTGAATTATATTATCCAATAAGGCCTAAAATAAAATATTGTTTGTTTCCCCAATCCTGACCGACCCTGCAAAAATGGTCCTACTCATAAAATTTTATTGTCAAAACTTAGTCAAATATTATTTTATTCATTTCCGATTTTCAGGCTTGCCGGATCATCCGATAATGTTCAAGCTTTTTGGAAAAATAAAATTATTTCCCTACCTACCTACCCACACCTGCTTGGCAGGGTCGGGATTGGGGAAACAAACAATATATTAATTTAGGCCTAACTGTAAATTGCATTTCCTGTATCCTAATTTTGTATATTCTTCATACCAACCTTCATTGATATTGTATGTGCTTTGGGTATTGTATGTGCTTTGGGTATTGTATGTGCTTTGGGTATTGTATGTGCTTTGGGTATTGTATGTGCTTTGGGTATTGTATGTGCTTTGGGTATTGTATGTGCTTTGGGTATTGTATGTGCTTTGGGTATTGTAATGATGTAGACATTTGTAATGGACTCTTGCCAATGTAAGACTTTATTTGTTTAAAATTTTATAAATACATAGGAAGATTAAGATATCAATTGGGCAATAATAGTTATGTTAAAAGTTAAACAACACAATGGCTAAAAAAAACCCAGAAAAACAATAACCCCCTAAACCTTACTCAGAAAACTGGAGATTGCACACAACTAGAATATACACCAGTTAGAAGTAAACTGTTACCAACATTAAGAAATTTTTAACTAATTTTTTGACAAGCAAGCTCCACAGGACAACCATTGGGTGTATAACTATTTGCTGATTTCACCATACATTAAATAATGATTTTTTTAATGTATACTTAAACATTGTATTTGATTGGTACATGATGAGCAGTAGTAATGAAAGTATTATGAAACAATGTTTTCTGTAAACATCAGTCAGTGTTGTCTTTGAAGTTTAGGCTTTTACTAAGTACTACAGAACTAAACAAAAAAGAAGATGTGGTATGATTGCCAATGACACAACTTTCCACAAGAGACCATACACCGTTAGAAGTTAGCATTTATAGATCACCATACGACCTTCAACAATGAGGAAAACCATACCACATAGCAAGCTATAAAAGGCCCAGAAAATGAATAACTAAGGCCATAAAAAAGAATAGGTTGGTTTGCCTTAACCCGACCGACCCATAAAAAAGCACCTGAGTCAAAAAAAATTTTTATTCAAAATTCGCGACGTTTTTTTTTTTTTTGCGGAGTTTTGTCGTATCCGTATCCCTCTTGAGTTTGTTGCATAGAATAACCTGATCCGATCTGACCGCGCTTTATCAATTTGTGTTATGTATTAAAGCCTCCAATTAATACGGATGAAAAACAACGTTACCGTCTAGTACAAATAAAGGTTGGATTAAAATCAAAACCCGTAGTTTCCAACAAATTCTATCGTTTTGAAAATGCAAAAACATGGAAAGAGGTGTTTGATAAAGTGTGTGATGACGATTTCATGCTACGGAAAACTGATGAAATTTGTGTGACTGTCTCTGACCGATCGGGACACTCGTTTGAGCCCGATTTTGAGGAACCAATCCAAGTTGTTCAGGAATTTGATTTGGCATTAAAATTTGATTAAAATGATATTATTCTGACAGAAGTTCTGTCAACAATGTTTTGTTCAAGTGTTTTGTAATTTGAATTTTGTATTCAAAAAAACTTCTTCCATTCTTCTTCTTAGTATGAGCCTCCTTGAATTAGGAGACCCTCCAAATATATGGAGTTTTTCCTTAACTTTAAAATTTTAAAGAATAAAAAAAAAACGTTTTTTCCAACATATGTACAGCACATATAAATATAAAACAATAAAAGTATCATGCATGGCATATTTACAGGGACCTTTTTATTAATTATTTAATTTCATTTTCATAGCTTTTAATATTTGTCCAGAGCTTCTTTACATTTCTTACAATTGTTATATGACAGACTCTTTGTCGGTATATATATGTCACTTATGATAATCACTATTTTCATTTGGTTGTCATTTTCTCCATTTTGAGATATATATGTATATATATACGTATATGCAATATATGTCTTTCTATTTGTGGGGCCTCGGTGGCCAAGTGGTCTAAGTAGTTGGTCTAAGTAGTTACTACTGTAATCACTAGCCAGTCAACACTGAGGTTGTGAGTTCGAACCCCGCTCCTGCTGGTGCACTTGACTCCAATCTTAATTGACTAGGATTGTCAGTTTTCCTATCGAAGGTTGGTGGTTTTCTCCGGGCACTCTGGCTTCCTCCACCAATAAAAACTGGCCGCCACGAAATAGCCCAAAAGCGGTGCTTAAAAGTGGCGTAAAACACAAAAAATCAAAAATCAATCTTGCTATTTGTTGTCCATAATTTTCAATCTTTCTATATGCATTTGGAATAACATATTTTTGGTTTTGTTTTCAATATTTTCCTTGAATTTTTCACAGTTATTAAACAGCTCCTTATATTTTGAACAGTCTATAAGCAATTGTACTATCGCAGTTTTGTTTGTGAATGTACAGTTCCATTTTGTTGGTGTGATTTTATCAGTGATCTCTTTTCTTATTTCAGGGAAATATTTTTCCCTCGTAGTACTGAGTATAAACTCATTTAAAATGTTTGTCTGTATTTACAATGTAAACATTCAGAAAAAAGTGTGAACATTGAGGTGGAATGCTGAAAAAAAAACTGTCAATAGAAAAGATCATATAGTACAAAATTATAGATCCTGGCATATATGTGTCTGACAATTTATACAAAACTCTATAATAGTCTTTCATTTTAAAAGTTGTTAACAAGGTAAAATAATTTTCCCCCTATTTTTCTCTAAAAGTAAAAAAAAAAAAAAAATTCCCTACCTACCTACCCACATCTGAGACTGGTGGGTAGGGTTTGGGCAAACAGAAATATTTTTAAGTCTGGCCTAATCCAAGAATTCAAATATCAAAAATTATCCAACTTGTGACCTTAAAACAATGGAAGTTCCAATTGCGCTATGCTTTCATGAAATAATGTGTTGTTTAGTCACTAGTTGACTGCTTTATTTTATTTTATTTGAAAGCTTGGATTAGGTATTCTACAATTATTGTCAACCTTCCATTACAGAGAAGCTCCACCTGATGTGTACATAGCTAGAAGTTTTGGTGGAGCTATCTCTATAATAATTTATTGTCAACCTTTCATTACAGAGAAGCTCCACCTGGTGTGTACATAGCCAGAAGTTTTGATGGAGCTATCTCTATAATAATTTATTGTCAACCTTCCATTACAGAGAAGCACCACCTGATGTGTACATAGCTAGATGTTTTGGTGGAGCTATCTCTATAATAATTTATTGTCAACCTTCCATTACAGAGAAGCACCACCTGATGTGTACATAGCTAGATGTTTTGGTGGAGCTATCTCTATAATAATTTATTGTCAACCTTCCATTACAGAGAAGCTCCACCTGGTGTGTACATAGCCAGAAGTTTTGATGACGCTATCACCATGGTGAACAAAGACTTGTCAGACAAAGTGGAATCCATATATGTCATTGGAGGAAGTTCTATCTATAAGGTCAATATACACAGTTTCTGTTGACATTCTTGGTAGTTTGTTTCAACCTTTTGGTAACAATCATAGCAAATTGTTAATGTTTGTGTTTACTATAAACCATATCATATTGTTTAAAATGTGTTTTGTTGAATGTTTACATAAAATTTGAATGTTAATGCAGTAATTTTTACATAAATTGCCGTCCTTGACCTATGGTCAACACCATCAACCATACCTGTCAACTGACCCGTATTTTGCGGGTGTGACCCGTGAATTTCCCCTCTCACCCGGGATTTTTAAAATACCAGATTGGTGATCAAATAACTCTGGAATTCAGAAAATGACCCGTTTTCACCCTCATTTCTGACCAGTATTGATTCCGGTATTTTGAAGTGACATATACATTCAGTTTTATCGGCTTTTTTCCTTTGAAAAAGAAAACATAGGATTGGCTTATTTACCTTGCTCTTAATTGGATGAATAAAACTATCAAAACATATTTTTGACACTCCTTTGATTGAAAAGTAACAATTCGCTTATTATCTCGTTAATTGTTCACCAGAAAGGTTGAAGCCAGTCAAGCTTGCCATACAATGTCCTGATTATATGTTTGCCATTTGCAAATATCAATTATCCTATAAAAATCCTTTCAAAACAATTTGAACCTCTAAATACATTTCTGTTGGAGAGATATAAGTCGCTTATAAACTATTTTAAATCATTTAATTTTGTTATCAGTTAAATGTAAAAGCTTTGAGTCAAATCAAATGCTCTAGATATTGCAATGGAATTAAACACACTTACTTCTTTCTCTTATCTTCCTCTTGTGTAAAGGAGCACATTAGCCATAACTGATTTCTAATTATAGCTGAGGTTTATGAAATTCGTTTATAAAAAGTTGTGTGCATAAAACAATTAAAGAGCATTGCTTAAAAAAGATATTTAATTAATGATAGATATTTATGTATTTAACAAATACAATGGTGGACATTGGTAGGAAACTGGTATATATTGTAGTATAAACATGTATTATAAAAAAAACCTCTTAAATACTAAAATTCAACCGAAAAAAAGTTTGTACGCTTTATGACCTGACATTTTCTTCCTCAATGCAGGTCATGACCTGCATTTTCATTTTCAAAGGTTGACAGGTATGCATCAACTATAAGCATATTATTGATAATTTTTAACAGTTTAAAGCTTCCAAGTCATAAAATTGTTCATAGTAGAACAAGTTGATCTATGTCATGAGCTGGATATTAACCTGATTGTATATCAATATTTTGCATTTTTTGTATATTTAACTACTCGACCAAGTCTTAGCAAAGAAATAATAATTACGTTAATAAACTACCATGATTTTTACCTTAAGATTGAAAAAATGGAATGGGAAAAGAGTAGGGCCATAAAAAAGAATATGGTTGTTTGCCCTAATCCTACGTACCCAGAAAATAGCAGCCTACTCAAAATCTTTTGTTGTCCTGGTGTGAAAAAGTTTTTTTTTAATCAGATAGGTATGAAGACTAAAAAACATCAGACACTTCTATTTCTCTTTGACGAAAAAAAAAAGAAAATGCCTTCCTACCTACCCACTGTCTCTACCATTGGGTAGGGTTTGGGCGAACTACAATATTTTTAAGTATGGCCTAGCAAATTTTTTATTTTTCCCACGCTGCAGATAATTCAGATGTATGAAACATAGACTAAATTTTATATAAAAAAATATTAAATTTTATGGTAGAATGAAATTTAGCATCAACTACTTGCATACTTTTGACCTCACGAATTTAAAAAAAGTATTTAAAGTTACACTGTTTGTCTTTTCAGGCAGCAATGGATTCAGATTATGATATAAGAATATTCCTGACTAAGATTTTAGCTGATTATGATTGTGATACATTCCTTCCACAGTTTGATGAGAACCTGTACAAGATTATAGAAAAGTAGGTAAATTCTAAATTATAATTGGGTTACTACATTCAAACATACATAAGTATTGAATAAGTGAAGCAAGCACTTTTAGATCTGTTTTTACATTGATAAGAATTGATATACACGAGATGACATATTCATACCTTTACTGGTAGTTTCTGTGTATTGAACACTTTACCAGAGGTGATTGGGGGGGGGGGGGAGAGGAGGGGTCCTGATCCCGAAATCCCGGGCTTAAAAACATGGAATCCCAAGGTCCCGAATTTAAAAAAAATTAAATCCCGACATCCCGAAATTCGAAAAAAGAATTCCCGGATCCCAAAAGGACCAATCCTGTAATCCTGAGCATAAAAACACCCGATTCCTGAGTCCCGATAAAGGTTCTACCCCCCCGTGATTTGATCTAAAGATATAGTCTTTGATGGTAAACACTTGAAATATTTTCTCCAAACCAGTGAAGTACTTGTGAAAACTAAAACAACAAAAATACATAAGAAAATTCAAAACGGAAAGTCCCTTAACAATTGGCAAAATCAAAAGCTCAAACACATCAAACAAATGGAAAACAACTGTCATATTCCTGACTTGGTACAGGCATTTCCTTATGTAGAAAATGGTGGATTAAACCTGGTTTTAAAGGTAGCTAAACCTCTCACTTGTATGACACTGAACCTTTCAAAGATGGTCTTTAGGGTAATTGCTACAACAGTTTATGTTCCTGTGGATTTTATCCCTTAACTAACATAGCCTGTGGTAAATAAAAAAAAATTGTGACACCTATGTCCAAATTGAAACCAAATTTATAGGTCAAGGTATTACTTTTTTTTAAGTGTTGACTCATGGTAGTTAAATCTATGCACATTTTATCAACTAATACAGCAACAAGATTTTCAGATCCCAAATTGAATACCTTACTTTATTGTATTTATTGTATTATTCTGAAATATAATTGGAAATGTTATTCTTATCTACTGTATATGAAACCCTATACAATATGAAAATAAGAAAATGTGGTTGGATTCTGTTCTTACAAACAATATGATAACATTATCAGGTTACTTTGCTGATAGAGGTGTAGCAGTTATGTTATTGTGCTTTTATTAACAGCTTTTGTGCAATACACTTATTATCAGGTGTTAACATAAAACGATAGCAACACACAAGAGACTTATTTTTTAAATATTTGATGGTATTGGTAAAACAACCCATAGAAATAACATAAGGTTCCTATGGAGATACTGGCCAAGAAATGGGACGTCATCCCAGAGTAGCTAATCAATATGCCAATGACAGTTGAGTTAGATTTACAATACCAATGCAATATATGTAAAAGTCTTGTTCTTTAGATCTGCTTTTAAAAAGACAACAGAGCCCTTATAAAATAAGGAGATTTGGTATGATTGCTAATGAGACACCTATCCACCAGAGACCAAATGACCTAGAGGTCACCTTACGGTCTTCAAAAGTGTGTAAAACCCATATAAGCATCTCAAGATATAAAAGGCCCAGACATGACATAATGTAAAACAATTCAAACAAGAAAACCAATGGCATGATTTATGTCCAAAAGAAATATGATAAAAAGACTTGGGACAAGCACATACAGAATGAGGGAGGGTTAAACATGATTGGTGGTGCCTAAACCACCTTATAACCTGGGACAGTGGTGTAAAAGCACAACATTAGAACAAACTATTAAAATCAGTTGAAAATGTCTAGACCATACCTGTCAACTGACTCTTATCCTGCGGGTCACACCCGAGAATTTCACCCCATACATTGGATTTTTTAAATACCCGCTGGGTTGTTAAATGACCCTATTTCAAAGTTGTTTTGACAATAAATTTGAGTTACTTCCCCTTTTTTTGTCACCTTTCACAATATACTCCTTAATTTTATGTTTGTTTTTGGGAAATAGATTAAATCTAAAACAAATTGTATGCAAATACATATCAGAATATTACTTTCTTTTATTAATCTACCTTAGAACAATTATAAAATTATTTTGAAAATTAATTCTTTTATCTCTACTTCCTTTAAATGCTTAATTTTTTTTTTTATCATATTCCAATATCAAAAACTTTGTGGCTATACATTGTGATGATGTACTGGGAATCAAAAAGATTAAAAATAAAGTAGCCTGAGAATTGATATATATAACTATGAATGAAACAAGAAGAGGGGGTATGGCTTGGTATGAAGTGACAAAGTACAACACATCAATAGTTCAATAGCTTATATTGCAATGAATTTCAAATTATTTTCAGTTAGTATTTCACCATGTGAACATATTTTGGAAACTGTTCCATTTAAAACACAAAGAAATGTCTCCTAAATACTTAAATTCAGCTGAAAAAAGTTTCTACACCTTATGACCTGAGATTGTCTTCTTCAATGTAGGTCATAACCTGCATTTTCATTTTCATAGGTTGACAGGTATGGTCTAGACTCATCAGATCGAAACAAAGCACAAAAACAACTGAAAAATAACTATAAAGAAGCAAAGTACTGCTCTTAATATACTCCTCGTTCAAAGCCAATAACAACTAAAGTCTAATAGAAAATCATGTATTCAAGTCATAATATAAATCAGTGCACATCCAATGGATTTAGTGTAAAGACATCATTAATATTGTATGTAAACATTACCTTGTGCATTGCCAAACTGTATATATACTTTATTACTATTTCAGTTATGAAGGAGTACCAAAGGGGAAACAGACAGAAAATGATATTGACTTTATTTTTGAAGTTTATGAAAAGGTCAGATAACTAAACACATCACCCATTGCTGTTGTTCATATTCATATTATCCATACTTCATTTGCACTTCATTGTATTATTTGTTAATAAGGTTCTCTTTCAAAAGTGTTGCTGTTATTAAACTGTAAAGGACTGTCCATAAAGTTTAGTCATGTTTAGATATGAAAATTATATGTCATTTTTGATAAAGTTTAATTTTTGTTAACATTGTTTGCCTTTTCATTTTATTTACATACACCATATATTATTCCTTTGCTTATCAATAGCAGATGGAAACACTTCTTGTTGATGGTTATACTCATTTACAATTGAATCATTTCATTTTTGTTAGCTTTCTACACTGAAAGCTACACCCTGTAATCTTTTTTTTCTCCTATTTTCCATAATACAAAAATTTATTCTTCAATTTTGGATAACACAATTCAGGATCACTTATTTGAGTAATTTGAAATATACAATAATTATAATGTTAACAACAACTATTCCATGTATTCCATAATTCCTTACATAAATCAATTATCAATTCCTGTTTTAAGTCAATTTCATTGGGTTGGATGGCCAGTGAATTTATACTGCATCAAATCCTTAGGTATACTCCTTTAGTATTTTCCTGTAATTCTTAATTTATTAAATGGACTTTCACTAAGACAAAAGTAAAGAAATTTTGGAAAGATTAGAACATCAATAGGATGTACCCAGGTAAGCCACTTAATCTATATACACTGAAATTTAGTTCTTAATACTTCTCATGTAAGTATACACAAATGAACTGTAAACATTTTGGTTATATCTTTAGAGCATTTTTATCAAGAAAGAATGTCATTAGTTTTGTCAGTTTTTGGTTTCCATTCTCTAACTGCCTCAACCAAATGTTATGAAACTTTAATAATACACAATGCTTATTACCACAAAACACAGGTCAGTTTCCAATTTGGGTGACATCAATTTTACCGTTCTTGATTATGTCCCATTATAACATTATATGCAAGCGGCGGCATCATCTATGTCACATGGACACATTCTCCATTTTTTGCTTTTTAGATAAGCAAGAATATTAATACAATACTAGTATGAATGAACTGTCTTAATGAAGAAACAATTAAACACTAAGGTTGGAGTGATTATTAGAACTGTTTAAATATGCCTCCAATCTTCATTGATCAAATTATTGAGTTTATGCATAGCATGGCAGACCCTTCATTACACAAATCAATATACAGCTAAATACATAATTCTTGACCTCACTAGTATAGAATAGATTTTTGATCAATATAAAGGTGTTAGATTTAATCCTTAACCTTTGTATAACTTTTGATTTCTAAACTAAGGATCAATGATGGCTGATTTATTTGTTTAAGAAAAAGAAAAAAATAACATCTATAGTAGTAAAAATACAAGTTGGGTCTATTTATGCCCCACCGTAGGTTTTACCCTTGTCCGTCTGTCCGTATGTCCAGAAATTGGTTTCCATTCTCTAACTTTAGTTTGCCTCAACTGAATGTTCATAAAGTTATACCTAATGCTTATTACCACAAAACACAGATCAAGTATGAATTTGGGTGGCGTCACTTTTACCTTTCTAGAGTTATGCCCCTTTACAAATGGAAAAATTGCTGAATTTTTCGTTTCCAGTATCTAAAGTTTGCCTCAACCAAATGTTATGAATCTTATACAAAATGCTTATTACCACAAAACACAGATAAAATATGAATTTGGGTAGCTTCACTTTTACCATTCTTGTGTTATGTTCCTTTATAACATTATATGCAAGCGGGGGCTTTATCTGTGTCCCATGGACACATTCTCCATTTATTTACTTATAAAATCTGTGCAACAAGCATCTGTAATTAATCCAAAATTTAGGTTACAAATATCACTGAAAGGAAAATTTGATAAAAAATAATACAGGAAATGATTTTGTTTTGCAATGAAGAATTACCCCCTTTTTTACCTTAAATATAATATAACAAATATTTAGAAAAAGATTTTTTTTGAAAATCAGTGCTTCTTCTTTAATTGAAATATAAAAAGAATTTGCATCTAAAGTTAAAATTTTCCATCTTTGGACAAAAGAATTAGTTCATTATATTAAGCTTATTGATATGCCAATTACCCTTTGCATCTACATACAACCATTCATTGTTAGGTTTTACAGAGAAACTACAATGATAATATGTTTTTTTTAAAAAGATAATTCCTTTTCTTTCAAAATTGTAAAACTTTATACTTGAAAATGATTATAATGTAAATTTAGTGATCACCGGTTGCTCTATTGAGCTCATTTTATCTACTGAAAAAATTTTCATATTTCTTAAAATCATGCAGTTATGTAACAAACAAATATATGCAATAGTGCTAGTATGTTTATGTCATTGTGTGTTATTGTGACTATCTTACACCATAGTGCAGACATAATTTTTATTTCACAATAAACTGTTTTTAATCATTTGGTTTTTAAGTTGGTCAATCTCGGATTTTAAGACGAGACAAAATTTAAAAAAATGTGTTTAATTAAACCATATATGTGTCAATGACTTAAAGAAAGCATAAAACACAATTTCAATCATCTCACACCAACTTTTCACATGTAATTATACCCCAGCTCCAAAGAAGGGGGATAAACAGGTTAACCTCTGTCCATTGGTTCTGTCCATCCCATGGAATATTTAGTAATAATTTTCTCATGAAATATCAGAGCTTCCATAAATTTGGTTTTGAGCTTCATGTGAGCATTCCATATAGTGCAATGCGTTTTAACAGTTCAATCTCTTTTTTACTGAATACTTTATATATTCTTTACATAATGGCCATGTATGAAGTTCTCTTCACAATTTTGTTGGGAGCTACAAAGCAGAGTTTCAGGGAAATTTGGTATCAAGCCTCTTGTAAGGATGCTTTACAGTGTGATATATTTTCATATTTATTGCTTTTCAACTTCTTGTTTACCAAATACTTACATTTTCCTACACATTATGAAAATATATATATGAAAATTTCCTCACATTTTTCTATGGAACTACAAATCTTAGCTCCCTGAAATTTGGTATCCAGCTTTATGTGAGCATGGTATAATGTGAGATGAGTTTTCACAACCTGTTAAGAACAGACTTATAGCTGGGGTATCATCAGTGCACAATAGCTGACAATTCAACTTGTTTGTTCTTTATAAATTAGTTTGTGATGAAGCTTCTTTAAACAATTTTGAATAAATACACTTGCATGTAGTTCCTATGTAAATCAAAGTTTATTACTAGGAGTTAAAACTTTTTAACAAGGTTTTCCAATAAAGAATCTACTAATCAATTCGGGGTAGTACAGGGTGGAATGGCTACAGTGCTTTGATTGAAAGCATTGTTACAAGATTACAACAAAAAACAACATTCATATGGTATAAATATTTGGTTTATTCTCACATCAAGCTCCGCCAAAAAATGGTGCCCAAAAATAACTTCCATAGTAATTTCCTACCCAGTCATTTTTAAGAAATTCTCGAACATTTAAAAAAAAAATTATTAGAAATGCATGTTCCTTTCTAGGAGAATATTAACCAGATGTGTGAATTTGATATCATGGCAGCAATGTGTAGCAACAGAGGAATTGGAATGAACAACGAACTTCCCTGGCCATATATAGAGTGAGTGTGTTATATGCAAGTAGCTTGCTCATACTCTGCTAATACTTGATCACTCAGCTGCAATATAAAATGAAGCAATTCAATGTCATCATTTTTCTCTTCGCTGTTTTCTAGCTGTGCGAAAAGAGAGGCGAAGGATAACAAAGGGACATTCAAAATCATAAGTCGAAAATAAACTGACAGCGCCATGGCTAAAAAAGAAAAGGACAAACAACAGTACACAAAACAAGATAGAAAACCAAAGACTGAGCAACACGAACCCCACCTAAAATGGGGTGATCTCAGGTGCTCTGGAAGGGTAAGCAGATCCGGCTCCACATGTGTGACTTTCATTCAATAATATTATTTGTGGATTCTTTAAAAAACATACATAAAAATAATACAGTATCGATGTCCTTATGTGATCTTATGCACTCACTTGGATAGTAGATGTGAGAGATTAAGAATTCCTTTCCCAGCACCAATCTTGAAAATTTGGTCGGTTTTCGTTTTTTGCCATGGCATTGTCAATTTGTTTTCGACGCATGCGTTTGAATATTCCTTTGGTTTCTTTCGCCTATCTTTTGTCAAGGTTACATGCCCATCTAACAGGTGTTTTTCTTACATTAATTCATTTTCACTTTTCATTGATTAACGTTGAAGTTAACCGTTGTAAGATCAGTTTCTCAGTAACTTTAAATGATATGTCAACTGAATTTATCAGATGGAATTGTTGTAATGAATACATATCCAACTGACGGGGTTCTTCTGACTTTGACAGCGTTTTCATGACTAATTGATCAGCGTTTTGTTTTGTTTTCTTGGTTAGGTTAGTTTCGTTATTTAAATACTAATAGTAGATAGATAGAAACTGTAAACAGACAAAACTATAAGCAACACAAGATCAACAAAAAGAAATTTTAGTCGTGCATTATCATGTTATATTCAAGTCTACGATGTTGGGGATTGAACAATGTTGAATATGCACATACAGTACATCACGGTGAGCGACACAGATTCTTTAGAGCTTCTAGTTTCAGGGACCAGTCCATAAGCGATAGGTTAATTGCATTTGGTCCATAGAATGATTGTGAGCTGTTCGTGAAATGTCCTGGTGAAGTTCATCTGATCTTAACCTCATTATTATGGATCATTGTTCAGTGTTTCGTTTCCTGATAAGACTAGTATAGGTGAGCAATAATTTGGTGTAATGAAAATTATAAGGTGTCCACTTCTCTTGCTTATTTCTATCTGACTGGATTCACCAATTTTTCACTTCATTGTCCGTGATATTGAATAATGTTGTCTTTGTTACAGATTTGAACCTCCTCATGGTTTTTATACGCCCGTTTACGGGACGTATTATGGTATACCGTTGTACGTCCGTCTGTCCGTCCGTCCGTCGTCAACATGTCGGACATTAACTCAAAAACGCTTTAACCAATTTGCTTAAAACTTTGGTGAATTGTTTATATCTATTGACGTGAGCTCCCTTTCGTTTTTTATAAATTTTAGATTTTACGTTTCCGAGTTATGGGGTTTTATTCATAAAAAAAAGGGGGATTTTCCAGTTTTCGGACAATAACTCGAGAATGCTTTCACCAACTTGCAAGAAATTTTGGTTAATTGTTTATATCTATTGACACGAGCTCCCTTTGGATTTTTATAAATTTTAGATTTTACGTTTCCGAGTTATGGGGTTTTATTCATAAAAAAAGGGGGATTTTCCAGTTTTCGGACAATAACTCAAAAACGCTTTCAGCAGTTCTCATGAAACTTTGATGAATTGTTGATATCTATTGTTGTAAGCTCCCTTTAGAATTTTATTAATTTTAGATTTTACATTTCCGAATTATGGGGTTTATTCATTAAAAAAGGGGGATTTTCCAGTTTTCAGACAAAAACTCAAAAATGCTTTCAGCAATTCGTATGAAACTTTGGTGAACTGTTTATATCTATTGATGTAAGCTCCCTTTAGAATTTTATAAATTTTATTTGTTTATAGTCTGACAACAGCTTTACTAAGTATTGCGCAACAGCACAGTGTATTGCACAACAGCAAGAAATCTTTAATTGAATATAAATTCAATTCATATAACCAACTTCAAGTTCTTTGACTACATTTATTCAGAACCTATAATAGATGTATGTCAAATATTTAATTACAATCCAAATTCAGACCTGTATCAAGCTTGAATATTGTGTCCATTTTTGCCCCAACTGTTCAGGGTTAGACCTCTGCGGGCGTATCCAGCTGCGCTCAGCGAAGCAGTTTATTTTATTATGTGATTACTTTGCCGTTTTTATAGTGATTATTTGATTAACAGACTAAATATTGCATGATTATTTGATAATCTAGGACTGTATTTTTGATTATTTGATTATTTTGTTTAAAAAAAATAATTAATGGCCAAAAATTTGTGATTATGGGTTACTTGGACAACCCCATGAGGGGCCTCAGATTTAGTAAGAGCCTCGTCTGATGTGTTTTTATCTTGATACACTACCTGAATGTCGTGGTCTCATTGTCAATCGATATTATACCATATTTCGTCCCATTACTTTTTTTTACCAACAAGAAGCTTTGTATAACAGTTTACTTTTTGGAGTAGTATATTTTATGGTGAAATAGGATATTGTGTAAATGAGCGTAACATTTGTGACGGGATTGCTGACTTAGCTTGGATAACTAAAATACCCACAGTGGTTAGAAAGGATTTCTAGCCAGGGTATGTGTTGTGACAGTCATAATGGCAGGGAAGAGTGGTGGGATTGCTTCACTTGAATAGTATATACTAGACAAGCCGTAAGTGGTTGAGCTAGGGAAGTACTTCTTTAGCGCTATCGGTTAGAGTGTTGCCTTGTAACACAGAAGTATCGGTGGGACAAAGTGATTTTTTATTGAGAATCATTCTCTCCGGTTACATTTGGAGCCCAACTAAAATACCCACGACGGCTAGAAAGGATATCTAGCCAGGGTATGTGTTGTGAGAGTCATAATGGTAGGGAAGAGTGATGGGATAGCTTCCCTTGAATAGTTGATACTTAGCCAGTGGTTGAACTAGGGATTTACTTCTTTAGCTCAGTCGGTGAGAATGCTGCCTTGTAACACACATGTCACGGGTTCGATTCCTGGTGGAGTCAAAGTGGTTTTGTATTGAAAATCATGCTCCCCGGTTGCACATTGTATACAAATGTATGTGTTTTATCTGATTAGGTAAATGCCTACAGTAACTATGTATAACTTGAAGCTGATAACCTACAAGTATCATTGCTTAAATAAGGCGACAGTTGTTTCCTGATGTTCAAATATCGTAAATCTATTGGGAAGAGACAATTCAAGTTAAAAAGGAGAAAATGAGGGAATCCCATGAAAAGGTGCGAGACTGAATGCATCTCTTGCTATGCATGCATCACCCGCCATGCGAATTCACAATATCACAAACGGGAATAGGAAACGTTCAATCGGTACAATAACAGATAATAACATATTCCCTGATTTTTTATATAATAAACATTTGATTGAAATACGTTTTACAGGAAAGATTACGAATATTATACACAGAAATGTAGCCCAAACACTAAAGGTAAGAGTTTTCAAAAAAACATCCTATTTATGCAGTTAATTTAAAAATTGATCCATTGACTAATTTGTAGTGATGTACACCATTGCAAAAACATTTTCTGCTGTAGTTAAAACTACAGCATAAAGTTTGGCAGAAGTTTAAATTATAATGTTGTCATATTTAATAAAATAAAATACCCCACCAAGAATTAAGCTTTTTTTAAGTATTGAAGAAATTATTCGATTTTCTTCACTTCAAACATCTTCAGAAACTATTTCGGACAATTGATTGATATTATACTTCATCATGATAGGATTTTCTTACTAAGAAGGGTGTTTTTAAGCCGGTCCAAACTTCAAAATTGTCACCCTGACGTTGGGCCCTGTTGGAGATACGTGTAACATGATGTTATAGAAAACTGCTTTATAAACTTGAGTACTATTAAGCATGCATAATGTTAAAACAGTCTATTTGATGATGATCTGGAATGAAACTCACTATATGTGCAATTACGGATCATAGTGTTTCATTGGATCCTGTGGAAAACACCTGTAAACATCTTGGATATCACTGAACAGACTAGAAAGAAATACGACGAATAATAGATGCTGTGATTGTCTTGTCTAATATTTCGTTTTCGGATGCATATTATACAAGTTCTAGATAGCGGCCACTGCAGAACACGTTCGAAGATTTAAGCAATTAACATATTTGTTAATGTCTTTCACAAGAAAATTATGTAGCAAATTAAATCAATATGATTCATTGTAAACAGCTCTTCTTAATGTTTTTGATTTTGGGATAGATTTGATGGTCAGCATGGCTGCCTTCTCAAACCATAGTTTTAAATAGGTTTTGTTGAAAATACGAGAATTAAATGTAAAACTTGTATCAGTTTCTTATACAACTAGATATGCGATTATAAGCTATAAATTCCCTCCATTTCTCTTGTTTAATTTTTATACTTCGATGGTAACTAAACAAATGTTGACATGCTGTTTCTTATTAGAAAGTTTGCTCATTCGTAAAGTGAATTGATGCAATCATTGACAAATTATATTTGTAACATTTTACAGGAAAGTACACAGTGTTGATAAAAGGACGAATGACATGGGAATGCACAAAAGGTCGGGAACGGACAAATCCTGGCTTTCGGAACGTCATTATTTCTCATTCGAAAAGGTAAGGATGTTTCAACATAGTTCATGGTTGAATATAATGAATACGAATTAAAAAAATAATAAAAATATTGGAAAACTTTTTCATTCTTGATTATTATACAAATTTCGCTTTCCACAGATATTCTATACTGACCATTTGAGTTAACTAGATACTTGGAGTGTTGACTTGCCTCTGTATTAACATAAACGTTTTATTGCCCCGCCGTCACCTGGAGGGAGCATTAAGTGTTACCCATATCCGACCGTACATACGTCCTAAAATTGGTTTCCGTTCTCTAACTTTAGTTTGCTTCAACCAAATGTTATCAAACTTAACACAATGCTTATTACCACAAAACTCAGATGAAGTTCGAATTTGGGTGTCGTCCATTTTACCGTTCTGGAGTTATGCCCTTTTCTAATGCTATATGCAAGCGGGTGCATCATCTGTGTCCCATGGACATATTCTCCATTTATGGCAACAAAAATGGGAGGGGATTATTTTTCTACATAATGTTTATAAAATGGACGAATAAAGGAAAAATGTGACAACAAACTTTTGTTTTTACGTACATAGCTAGACAGTGCCATTTAATTTTCAGAAAATTCCAGGCAATAACTTACTTTTACAATTGATTGGGCCTGAAACTATCAAAATTAAAAAAGTTAATTTCCAGAGGATAAGAATGAAACAAAACTTTATTTAAAGAGGAATACAAAGAAACGAAAGTTTTTAAAAGATTTTAAGAAGATTAAAATGATACACTAGTAAATTAGGACTGTGGTTAGCATTCAAAAAAGTAATTTGATCAGTCAGTCAAAAACAAGGCGATGCTTTATCGTAATATTTGTATTAATGAGGATATTCTTTCGAATTAAGGTATGACAGCAAAACGGAACAAAGAACCGAGAGATGCATAAATGTAAAACAAAGACAATACATTTACAAACGTAGCTATTGTTTTACATTCAACAGGGATCAATTAGAATCAGATGAGTATGTACATAAAGTAGCAGACAACTTAGATGCAGCCTTGATATATGCAAACAAATTGAAACAAGAAGGAAAATGTGAACGAGTATGGGTGCTAGGTGGTCAAAAAGTATATGATGTAAGTTTAAACATTGACAGATGGGTGTTTTTAGTAAAAAAGTATATGATATTAGTATATGAAAATTGACAAACACACTTTAGATAAAACATTTACTTTACAAGAAAATAAGCAAGCGTTAGGCAATATCTAGTATTTTGTCCATGAATAGTTGTTCAAGGCAAATCCTGGTTACTCCTTATAAAATATTTACAAAAGAGGAACGAAAGATACCAGAGGGACAGTCAAACTCGTAGATCGAAAACAAACTGACAACGCAATGGCCAAAAATAAAAAAGACAAACAGACAAATAATAGTACAGATGACACAACATAGAAAACCAAAGACTACAACTTTCTAAGCTGTTAGGTAGAGAACGATTTAGAGCTGGACATATCGGATTGACAATAATTGTTTATTGTTGAAGAAAAGACGTTGTTATCTATATGTCTTTTGGATTATAGTGTCTCTGGAATGCTGTCTCATTGATTTTTACCAGGCATCTCTCAAAGCTGTTTTGCTCAGAATCGTATCTTTTACATTTACGGTTTAATAATTTTGTTAATAACTTCTTCAAATTTTGTCAAATCTCCGACGCAAATTGTGTCTTTCAGCTACTGCCATCATTGAGATGTTCCACAAGCTCCTGATATCAGCTACAACTTCTATTATGACACTGCACCACTATATAAGACAATTTGAATCATTGCATGTATTTATAATGTAATAATTATAGGGAAGTGGTTACTGTAATAAAATTTTAACAAAAAGAAAAAACAAAATTGGATGTATCTATCAGGTATTAAAAAAAATGAAAAACACCACGTTATAAATTTCATGTGTCAGAAGCTCTTTTCTGGATTTACATTTGTAAGGAACACTTAAAGCAGAATTTGTAAGGAACACTTAAAGCAGAATATTTGAAAGCCAAAGACGTATAAGAACCGAAACAGTTGAAGAGCTATATGACCAAAAAAGGACTGAAAAATATAGCCATTTAATGTCAACTTTGCCTGAGGGAGTTGAAACCCTAGTTTCTTAAAAACTTCAAAGTTTATAAACGGACAAGCCTGGTTTGTTATAAATCATGTCAGTAACGAAGTACTAACTAATGAGCTAATGATACCCTTGTGGACTGATAGCTGTAAGAAAAGAGAACAAGACGTTATTAATTTAATGCGTTCGAAGTGCTTTTACTAGATTTACTTTTACCAGGAATGCTCAAGCATATATTTGAAAGCCAATGATGTATAAGAACCAAAACAGTTGAAGATCTATATAAGGTTCCCAAATGATAAAGATAAACTTTTATCTGATATTGGTCAGTCTATAACACTTCAGTTGCTTACCTCTTCGCATTCAGTATTGTATACCCATATCCTGAATCATTTATTATGGAATGTAAATGAAAGCAAAAAACTAGATGCTAGGATCAGTGATTTGTATTTCATTTGATATTTTAGAATGCAGTACACCATCCCTGTTGTAAGAAAATATACCTTACAGAAATATACAAGGACTTCCCAAGTGATACATTCTTTCCTCTAATGCCAAGTTGTTTCAAGGAAACTGGGTATGTTTTGGGGTTTCTACATTTGCAGAATAAATACATATATGTGAAATACCATGACATTGTGCATAATAAGTTCTTTGTAAGCGGGTACACAAAATGGTTTAGTCAGAACAATTATTAGCGGAACTCTTGTTTACAGATAACATTAAAAAAAAGTTAAGACTAAAATGTGTATGCCTTATGATTTGAAAAGCCGTATGAATTTTGATTACACTAGTAGTTGTTGTGTATTCGGGATTATTTTTTAGAGCTAGTAAATAAAGGAGATACATACAAATTTGTAAAGCTTTAGACTACTAGGCGTAATGGCAAAAAGTTTTTTATGTGTAACCTCTATTGAGTATGCTGCTGAAAATTGACAACCTGGAACATCTGTAAAAATGCTCACAATGTGTGTATATTTTCAATGTATATGTAGAAACGTTCTACAAAGTTGTAAGGCTATATGGCTTCAAGATTCAAGGAGTTAATAACACAATAGTTTACTTGCATTGAGAATATTGGTTAAAAGACTACAGTTGACCATCTTGAAAATCTTCCAAAAACTCTCCACATATAAACAGAAAGTGCATGCCTGTCTCTTCAGATTACATGAATATGCAAAAATGCAGTAAAGTTTGAAGAACCTTGGTTGTTCTATTTTGGCTCTTTTGGTTAATATGTTCTTACATATTTTATATATACATGTACATACATGTGATTTTTCAAATGTGTTAGGGCTTATCATACATTCTTCTTGCAGTGTTAATAGTAAGGACGGTAATATTGGTTATTGGTGAAATAATGCACAGTATATGAAAATGGCCTTTACCATTATACATAACGAAATGCTTACTTGTTACTCGCACGAATTTTCTAACAATACTTATAAATTTTCTTATTAACATTATCGTCTAATTTAAAATTTATGAAAATTATTTACAGGGAGGAAGGAGTTGACCCAGACATTCAGGAAGATAATGGCTTACAATTTCAGTTTAAAGTTTTCACACAAACAGAATGATAATGTACTTAAGATTGGCTTTTGATTTACTTGATTTATCGAAATGCGCATCTGGTTCATTAACATTGATACCGTTAATGTTATTATATGTGTAGTTGTCTTACTTGTGCAATAAAAAAATTATATTTTCATATTTTTTTAATCCTGGATCCAACAGGTCCGCCGTCATCTTGGCATAATAGGATTTGTCATGTTCCTGGCTTCGTACGCTTGCCTCTGGAAGTGGCTTTGGGGTCAAGTGCCGAGTGATGCATTCAAGCAAAATATTGTTACCCTAACTGTCAATACCTGGTTTGAATCCTCTTTTAGTCCAAATTTTTCTCTCCAAGTTTTTGTCTGTTTTATATAACACATACACAGTGGATGATATCATAAAAAAGCTGGATATTTTTATCAACAGAATATTTGTTGAGTTCGGTGGATTGATGTTTCAACAGAAAGTCGGTATTCCAACAATGAACCATTATTAGCGCTATAAAACCAGATTCAATCCACCATTTTTAGCTCACCTGGGCCGAAGGGCCAAGTGAGCTTTTCTCATCACTTTGCGTCCGTCGTCCGTCGTCGTCGTCGTCGTCGTCGTCCGGCGTCGTCTGTTAACTTTTACAAAAATCTTCTCCTCTGAAACTGCTGGGCCAAATTTAACCAAAGTTGGCCACAATCATCATTGGGGTATATAGTTTAAAAAATGTGTCCGGTGACCCGGCCAACCAACCAAGATGGCCGCCATGGCTAAAAATAGAACATAGGGGTAAAATGTAGATTTTGGCTTATATCTCTGAAACCAAAGCATTTATAGCAAATCTGACATGGATAAAATTGTTTATCAGGTCAAGATCTAGCTGCCCTGAAATTTTCAGATGAATCGGACAACCCGTTGTTAGGTTGCTGCCCCTGAATTGGTAATTTTAAGGAAATTTTGCAGTTTTTGGTTATTATCTTGAATATTATTATAGATAGAGATAAACTGTAAACAGCAATAATGTTCAGCAAAGTAAGATCTACAAATAAGTCAACTTGACCAAAATGGTCAGTTGACCCCTTAAGGAGTTGTTGCCCTTTATAGTCAATTTTTAACCATTTTTCGTAAATTTTTGTAATCTTTTACAAAAATCTTCTCCTCTGAAACTACTTGGCCAAATTTAACCAAACTTGGCCACAATCATCATTGGGGTATCTAGTTTAAAAAATGTGTCCGGTGACCCGCCCTGCTATCCAAGATGGCCGACATGGCTAAAAAATAGTACATAGGGTAAAATGCAGTTTTTGGCTCATATCTCTGAAACCAAAGCATTTAGAGCAAATCTGACGGGATAAAATTGTTCATTAGGTCAACATCTATCTGCCCTGAAATTTTCAGACCAATCAGGCAACACGTTGTTGGGTTGCTGCCCCTGAATTGGTAATTTTAAGAAAATTTGGCAGCTTTTGGTTATTATCTTGAATATTATTATAGATAGAGATAAACTGTAAACGGCAATAATGTACAGCAAAGTAAGATCTACTAATAAGTCAACATGATCAAAATTGTCAAGCTATAACCTGTGGAAGTTTAATTTTTAGCGGAAAAAATAAAAACATTCGGCGACGTTATTGATGTCTACTGTAACGTCATCACAATTTCTACTCTATAACGCTATTATAACGTACAGTGTCGTAACAAAATCGTGAGTTTGTATAAAATTGAGAATGGAAATGGGGAATATGTCAAAGAGACAACAACCCGACCAAAGAGCAGACAACAGCCGAAGGCCACCAATTGGTCTTCAACGCAGCGAGAAAATCCCGCACCCGGAGGTGGTCCTCCGCTGGCCCCTAAATAAAATTTCGTACTAGTTCAGTGAAAATGGATGTCACACTAAACTCCAAAACATATAAATGAACTAAAATTAAAAAAAACATACAAGACTAACAAAGGCCAGAGGCTTCTGACTTGGGACAGGCGCAAACATACGGCGGGGTTAAACATGTTTTGTGAGATCTCAACCCTCCCCCTATACCTCTAGCCAATGTAGAATAAAGAAACACATAGCAATACGCACAGTAAAACTCAGTTTAAAAGAAGTCCGAGTCCGATGTCAGAATAGGTAACAAAAGAAAATAAACAAAAAGACAATGATACATAAATTAACAAAGGACTACTAGCAGTTACTGACATGCCAGCTCCAGACCTCAGTTAAACTGATTGATAGATTATGTCTTCATCTTATGAAAATCAAGAACAATCCCTCCCGTTAGGGGTTTAGTATCATACAATCATAAAATATATGAGAAGAACATAACCCGTATCATGCCAACAACTGGTTTTAGAATAATAGTGTTTATTTCCGATACAAAGACCCTATGAGTGAATCAATATTAATACCAAAATATGCAATCCTTAATGACCTGACAACAGTATCGTAACTATATCCTTTCCGAATAAGTCTGTTTAAAGGTTTGGTTAGCTTTTGAGGTGAATGCCGACATTTTTGTGCTTTGTAAAGAATATTACCATAAAATATTGGGTGTGAAATACCTGAACGTATAAGATGTCTACATGTTGATTTATATTTACGAATGATTTATAACCCATTTTCCTAATTATTGCAAATGCTCAAGCGTAATCAATTGATAAGGAAATAAACTGAGTACTTTTTAAGGATATTTCTGCTGCCAAAAAAAAAAAAGCAAATTGGCAAATAAATATACTGCAAGTGAAAGAAAGTTACTGTATAGACTTTAACTCCATCTTTTCTTAATTTGACAGGGTTCCACATCTTTTTTTGAAATGCTTGTATTTATAACTGACTATGGGCTTTGATCATTGTTGAAGGCCGTACGGTGACCTATAGTTGTTAATTTCTGTGTCATTTGGACTCTTGTGGATAGTTGTCTCATTGGCAATCATACCACATCTTCTTATTTTTATATTGTATTGTTCTAATAATTATGAATCAAATATCAAGTTCGGAATTGTCCCGGTTAACACAGCGTTGACAGAATGATTCTATATGTATTTAAATAATCGGTTATAATTATCGCGTATACTCGTCTTTTTTAAAATCTTATTTCTGCATGTTTGTTTTTTAAAAAAGTGAATATAATTTGCTGCTTGTTTTCATCCTCACCATTACCGGCGCTATTCGAGGTATTGCGCACAAAACATATTTTATTTGTCAGGTTCACACACGTGCACGTGACACAACTCTGCAATTTTATTTTTAAAATTTCCTGTCTCAATCGCTTTCCCTTTTCTTTAACTACACGACAAAGCATGATATAATGTTTGCTGGAGATTTTAAGTAAAAAAGGAAATAATTTCTTGTACCATTATTTGTTAAATATCCACATGCATGACTCCCAAAAAATAAGAAAACTGCATCTGCATATTATCTTTAGAATTTTTATGGCTGTAATAAGGTCAAAAGAAGAACACGCATATGAATTTTAGCAAAGTAAAACAGATCGGAGTTTTTGATATAACTTCCCGTAGCACAGATCATTCCCAGTGTTAGCCTTAGCATTGTGTATATTGTGTATAATGCTATAGCATTGTGTATAGTGTAATGCTAAAGCTTTGTGCATGGTGATATGCTATAAATGTACTGGTGTTATACTATAAATGTACTGGTGTAATACTAAACATGTACTGGTGTAATGCTATAAGAATGTACCATGGGCGATGCTATACGAGTTTACCTAGTGTAGTGCCATACAAATTGTTCCTGTATATAATGCAAATGAATTGCAGTTTTGTTAATATAATATGAAAATAAGGAGATGTGGTATGATTGCAAATTAGACAACTATCTGCCACAGTTTAAGGTAGACCGGGTGTCTTTTTCTGAGCGTCCGTTCTGATCATGTTGCAAAAATACTTTTTTGTTTTAAAAATATTTTACCAAGTATCATTTAATATACAACAAAATACCTAAAACTTGAAATTTAAAGATTGAACTATCAAAACATTAAGTGTCGTAAAGTATATTTAAAATTTTTGGGGATTTTTTCAAGAAAATAAGGCCCGTGACCCCCTATTTTTATTTGATATTTCGGAGTTATTAATGAAAAGCAATTCTCTCATCGAATTTTAGCCAATTCTATCGTTTAATGTTTCCGCAATAAGGAAAACTTAAGTTTCCTCTATATTAACAATATAAAATAACCCAAATTTCGTTAATTTCAATGTGTTATTACGAAAAAACAAGGTCCGTGATCCCCAGTTTTTGTATTGAAATTTGAAATTACATTGACCCAGAAGTCTTTTACAGAAGTTTAAGGAAAATCTATCGTCAAATATTTAGACACCCCAGCTACCTTAAATCATGTGGATGTAATTATTATAGGCAACCATACGGCCTTCAACAATGACAAAAATCCATACCGTATAGTCGGTTATAAAAAGCCCCGACATTGTAGACCCTAGTTTCTTCACCCCCTCCCCCTTCTTCCCCTACCTTATACTACTGCTGAATGATACACAAAACCACAACAAAAGAAAACAAATTTCGCTATCCCTTCGAAATTGGAATTTGATAAAGAAAAAATAACACGTTCTATTTTTATCATACATGTGTAGTTTCAGTTTCAACCATGGTTCTAAATTTAGATTTTACTTTCCCAAAAAATTGCGGACGGAATAGAAAACACCTGTTTATTTTCTGCACCTTGAAAACTGAGATTTGGATGACATAGATTTTACTTATTCTGAGATAAAAGTAATAGTGCTCAATTCTTAGTTTCTGAGTGTGTAATGTTTTGTGGACGGAATCTGATGGTTTTTTTTTTGCTGTTGGCTTTTTCTTCGGCTTATAAATGTTGTACTAGTGGTCGATTACCCTTAGTATCTTTTATACTTTTTACATAAATAATAAAATATAAAACATCAATTGCATAAAATCGGACATGCCAACGTCTTTCTTGTTCAACACACAAATTCACATGCAATATAATTATTCGTTACCTACAATTTTACGCTACACTGAATTTCATTCAAAACTAGGGTTTTTCAAAAAATATTGTGGGGTCAATTCTGGTTTGATTTTAATGAATTTGATACGAATAGAAGCAGAATTGTCACTGGTTTATTTGTTTATTTGGTTGTAATTTTGTTGTTTAGGCGTTTTTACCTTCTGTTGAAATAAACACGAGTCGTATTGTGTACCTGCTTCTGCGTGTCTAAAACAAAAACAGTGGTAATAGAGTCAGACTAACTCACAATAGGATCCTCAGATTTCTGATTGGAGTCATTATAATAATTTCTTTGAAGTTTTGAAATAGCACATGAATACTTGTTTGGATTCATGAAAGACCGCACGAAGTCATTTTTCTTTCATGTGCCCATTTTTCCTTTCTTGGAGTAGGGGAGATAACCCGCGTAACTAACGACGCACGTTTTTTATCCTGAATTCCGCTAGAGGCGTGCAATTACGTACACTTCGCCTTAAGGAGTAATTACCCTTTATAGTCAATTTTTTACAATTTTCATAAATTTTGTAAATTTTTGTAAATTTTTACATAATATTTTCCACTGTAACTACTGGGCCAAGTTCATTATAGATAGAGATAACAGTAAGGAGCAAGAATGTTCAGTAAAGTAAGATCTACAAACACATCACCTCACCGAAACACAATCTTGTCATGAATCCATCTGTGTCCTTTGTTTGATATGCACATAGACCAAGGTGAGCGACACAGGCTCTTTAGAGCCTCTAGTTTACATAAGAAAATGTCTGTACCAAGTTAGGAATATGACAGTTGTTGTCCATTCGTTTGATGTGTTTGTGCTTTTGATTTTGCCATTTGATTAGGGACTTTCCGTTTTGTATTGTCCTCAGAGTTCAGTATTTTTGTGATTTAACTTTTTCCAAAAGGGACTCATTGTACACGCCTATTTGCCGACTTGTTTTTGTACTCGTATGAAGCATAAACTATACAAAAGCATCTTGCAAAGTTCTTTTATTTCAAATTCAGATATATTAATGCTGTCCTGTCATTCCCTATCTTACAAGTCAGTTAATTATGTAATCTCAGATATCACAGTGAACTTGAAATTAAGGATACTACCGAAACTAGAAGGTCTGCGTCATATCTTCATCTTTTACTCAGTGTTCACACAGATGAACGACTTCAAACTAGAATCTATGACAAACGTGGTGATTTCAATTTTTCAATTACCCATTCTTAGTATGCAGTAACATACCCTCTGCTCTATTCTATGACGCCTTTACATCTCGACTGATACGTTACGATGTGTTTTATTATACTATACAGACTTAGTAGGAATTTAGGACATATCATTAATCAAATAGTCCTTTGTTGGTCAACATTTGTAAAATCCTACTAACTTATTCAGCCGACCTTTCAGGCTCAGAGGACAGAATTCTGGCTACGACAAGTAGAGCATATGTGGCATAGATATTCAGGGGATGACCCAACCTCACCATTATGAACCTTTGGTTCAACAGCTTCCTTGTTAACAGTAACCCTCTATTAAGGACATTTTGACTAGTAGACCTGTTGGTGGCCTTCTGCTGTTGTCTGTTCTGTGGTCGGGTTGTTGTCTCTTTGACACATTCCCCATTTCCATTCTCAATTTTACATGTACCTCATATGCAGGTGCTGCTGAAATGTTGCTACAATAAATAGAGGGTTCTCAATGGGGATATTGAAATCTTTTCTTCTGTCATAAAGATTAGTTCTCAACCTACCCTCATTGTCAATTTCTAAATGGAAGTAAATATTTGACGCAGAGGTAACTGTATCTTTGCTATCCTTTATTTCAATAGTAATGGAATAGACGCAATCGATATAGCCGTTAAACCTTGAATTATTCAGCAAAAATACATCTTTATATCAGCTTTTTCCTAATTCTCTTTAGAAACACCTGTATGGGGTATGCCTCAAAAGAAACAGGGACAAATCGAAAAGAGAAGCACAGTTGGTTACCATAGAAAAGCTAATTGTCCTCCACACGTAACTAATATGTTGTCAGTATCTTGATATCAGTTTCATAGATTTTTATGCCCCCGCCGTAGCGGAGGGGGCATTCAGTTTTACCCTTGTCCGTCTGTACATATGTACTTACGTACGTACGTCCCAAAATTGGTTTCCGTTCTCTAACTTTAGTTTTCCTCATCCAAATGTTATGAAACTTATACACAATCCTTATTATCACAAAACACAGATCAAGTTTTAATTTGGGTAGCGTCACTTTTTTACTGTTCTAGAGTTATGCCCTTTTTCAAATGGAAAAATTCCTGAAATTTTCGTTTCCGTTCTCTAACTTTAGTTTGCCTCAAGCAAATGTTATGAAACTTATACACAATACTTATTACCACAAAACAGATCAAGTTTCAATTTGGGTAGCGTCACCTTTTACCATTCTAGAGTTATTCCCCTTTACAAATGGATAAATTGCTGTATTTTTCGTTTCCGTTCTCTAACTTTAGTTTGCCATTCATAGTCTTTACGTTTAGAATGAGCAAAATGCATGTAAAGCTAGTCATGTTTTTACACTATTGCATGAGAAGGACTTCGATTGTATGAACTCGTAACAGATCTTTGAATTTTATTAGGCTCCACATCTGATTCAGAGCTCCCCTAGATTAGGTAATTTTACCATGAATCTGAGGCTCTGTTTTTGGTGCTGATAAAATGGAATTAAATAACTTGGAGAGGTTTTGTGGAGCCTTGGGCAGACACTGCAATATAATGGTGTTTGCAAGTTCGCTTGTGTAATTTGAGTATACAGTAAAGTTGGACTTTCCATGATACAGAACCAGCTGCGGACTAGGGTATTGATGGTTTAAAAGTACCTAAGAGAAACTAAGGGGGACTAAATATACTAGCTCTTATTTATGACCCTAAATAAGAACGTCTGGTCTTTTTTCTAAAAAAAAGTTCATCGGAAGATACCAAGTCCTTCAGGCTTGTCGATAAATATTCTGTATCAACTTCACAAATAATACATGATGGTCTTGAAGTATAGATTCTATGTCTTCATCATCTAAATCACGTGTTATAGTGATATATTTATTGGTCTTTGTATATTGCTTACCTTTACTGTTTAATCCATTTTTGGTAATATCCTTTTGGCGTTGCTCGATATTTATACATCCCACCGTTGTGTTATTGTGTTATGGTCAATTTTTGTATTCTTGTCTTTCATGTTTGCTTATTTCCTTCGTCTATAGAGTGTCTATGTGCCATTTTGTTTTTCTTTTTTGACATAGTTGTTTGTTTTATAGTGATTAAGATTATAACACAATGTTGACTCTTGTACCCCAATTTTTGACATTTGTAGCTATTTTGTCTGTTTGTTTTGTTCACACGTTGTTGTCAATATAATGGAATTATATGCAACTGTCATACAAGTGAGAGGTTTAGCTAGCTAAAAAACCAGGTTAAATCCACCATTTTCTTCATAAGGAAATGCCTGTGCCAAAACAGGAATATGACAGTTATTTTCCATTCGTTTGATGTGTTTGAGCTTTTGATTTTGCCATTTTACAAAGGACTTCCGTTTTGAATTTTACTTTAGAGTACGGTATTTTTGTTATTTTACTTTTTTCTTTACCCAATTGATTTAGTCCAAACAACTGATGGCTGCTACCCTCCAAATACGTGAGCTGTGTCGGATAGAAATCGACCTTATGCAAGTCCACATATAGATGTACATGTATAGGACTTTGATTTTGGAACATTCAAATACGAAATAAAAGATGAATTTTCGTCTGTTTTTTAGGGTTCTTATAACAACTCAATTTTAAAACAGTTACAGATTTCCATAGATATTTTTTCAACCTGAATAGGCTTACAGATGTATTAATATTTATTAACATAAGGTTGATTTCTATCCAACGCAGAGCAAGTCTTAACGTGGATATAAGACTATTCTAATAGCATGTTATCAACCATACCGTGGATAAGAACCACACCATTTTATAAGACCACAATATTCATATTGACATTATTAAAACTCATTAAAAATCAAACTAGTAAAAAACGGATCTGAATATAAAATCAAAAGATTTATCAAATTATTTGTTTTTTTATATAAACTATGTGCATAAACTAAAACTAAAATCGAACATATTCAAATATCACAATTATTGAACAAATATTACATATTATAAAATATAAAATTTGTGCTACATGCAGAATAAGTAAACAAAGTCCAGTCTATCAACTGACATTTACAGTGTTTGGTTCCATAGATAATAAACAGCTGCGCCATAAGCGCATGATATGCCCATCCCATTTTCAAAGAATAAAGTTCAATAACTTCTCAATGTCATATCAGAAATTTATGAAACACTAAAGGGAGGTTATCTTAAAAGATATAAATCGGTCACCATAGTTTAATCAAAACTGCCCAAAGCACTTTAAAGATAATGTCAGAAAACTAGAAAACACCCCTTTTTTATGAATAAAATTCCATAACTCAGAAATTTAAAATCAAAATATTTAAAATTCGAACGGGAGCGAAAGACAACAGATATAAACAATTTACCAAAGTTTCATGAGAACTCCTGAAAGCATGTTTGAGTTATTGTGCGAAAAATGGAAAATCCTCCCTTTTTTAATGAAGAAAACCCCATAACTCGGAAACGTAAAATCTAAAATTTATAAAAAACGAAAGGGATGTATTAGATGTTAATAGATATGAACAATTCACCAAAGTTTCATGCAAATTGGTTAAAGCGTTTTTGAGTTAATGTCCGACATGTTGACGAAGGACGGACAGACGGACAACGGTATACCATAATACGTCCCGTAAACGGGCGTATAAAAAAAACACACAGTATATTGAAAGAAAAATATAAAATAAAATTGCATTTAATATGGTAACTACAACATTTCATTATTTACTAGTCTGCAAACGTGGACGACTTTCATGAAATAGATATAATATTTTCCTTCATCTGCTACAAATGGAACTCTCTAAATACGTTTAACTTATTGTATCACTTGTTTACAAGGTTGTCTATTGAGGCCTTTTAAATTCATTTGATATTACAGCCAAATAATTGAAGCCTTGTAAATTCTTTTAATATCACAACAGCCAAAATAATTGAGGCTTTATAAATTCTTTTAATATCATTACAGCCAACAATAAGCTGATTTTGTGGCTCACAGAAAAAATTACGACTAGCATTAAAATCTCATTTTAAATGAAGCAAAATGTAAATTGAAGACAAAAAGAGCCACATGAGAACACTGAGGCAACATAAATCAGGATATTTTGGTGGTCTACTCAAAAAGCTATGGTTAAATTATGGTATCAAATATGTTATAATTTGCACCTTCATCTAAGGCATCAAATAAACCAAAATATGACAACAGCAATAATTTATAGTACTATAATTAGAATGTCAAATTAAATTAAATTTTTTATAACCTTTTTTACAAAATAATTGCTAGGGTCTATAGTTCGTTGATTTTGGACAAGCATCAAAATATTTTTTTCTACAAAGAATCATTATGTGTTCTTTATACTATTGAAAAGTAAAATAACAAAAATACCGAACTAAGAGAGAGAGTTGATAAAATTTGTATCAGCCAAGCTTGATTACAAATCACAATGAAAATTTAGGAATTTATAAAGGGGCCTCATGTAACATCTCTGCACAGTAAGGATTTTAAAGGTGCAATGCTTCTTGTTATGAGGCAAATGACAAATCCTACTGAATCCTATACTCTGTAACCATAAAATGATAATTAGTGGTTTCTTACAGGAAAACTCTTAAATTATTTAACACTGATTATGCAATACAAAATAATATACTTCAAATAATGGTTACAAATCAGTTCAGTATCAACATTTAAAGCTTTACTTACATCTTCCTGATATTTGTAACATATTTAAGTAGTAGTACATATTACCACAAAGCAATAAGACAATATCATCTAGAAAGACAATAAATTTCTTGGCAGGTGAAAAACGTTGAAATGCCCATTATAACATAAAACTAAATCATGACTTAACAAATTATAGCATGCCCTCATATTCCTGCCATATCAAAAAGTGCAATAAAAACATAAACAAAAGAATATAAATTGTGTATTTGTTCCAGACCATATGAGTATTAAGACCATACATGTATGGTCATGACCATATGAGTATATACTCCTTTGATCATAAACAGGCCACACCATATAAGTACTTAGACCATATAGGTATTTTTTCAAATAAATGAAAACGTCTTTTTCAGGTTCACAAAGTTCATTCTCAAAACCAAAAACGTCTAAACAGTTACAAAATGAATTCCTTTATCTAAACATATTGTCTTTATCTTGGTGTATTTGTTATCTTGCCTTTGACAGAGTCAATTTAAAGCCCTTTATCCTGTGGACTGCATGTTTTGTCCATATGTAAAACCACAGTCGTTTGGGGCATTAACCTTTTTTCTTTTACAATTTATGAAAAACAGACTTAAATACTAAAATAATAATTAAAAAAAACAACAACAGAGGATTCAATGTACTACGTGCCTGTGTGTTAAGACTTCTTATTCAACAGTTCATTTAGATATTTCTAGAATTTATTTTCCAAAGTCAACATTTGTGTTTCGTAAGAACAATGGATAATAACCATACAAAAAAGATTCTGCTATAATAATTCTATCTTGTCAGTAAAATTCACTTTAATTCATTAATCATGTAACAATGGTTACCATATGATTCTATAAGTCTAAATTTCATTTTTAGAAATGCTTTATTATGACACTTTTTTTACGTTCATCTTATTAATTACCTGAACCATATGCATATGGTGGGACCATATGAGTATATACGCATAACTCATACATGGAACCCATAGAAAGCACTTTGAAATCTCCTTTATGGGTAGGTGTCAAGTACATTGAAAAGGTCAGTGAAATTTTAAATTTACCTCTATAGGGGGGGTATCCAATTTTGAAAGATGTATCCCTGGGTACCATGCATCCCCAAGGCAAAATTTTGCCAAAATATGATTTTTAGCATGCATGGAGAAACAGGTCTTTTTCAGTCAAAAGTCTCTTCAGAGTTGTCAGCTGAATCAGTTAATATATAAAGGTAAACTTCAATAAGCATCAACATATGGCACAGTTAATAGGATAAAATAAAATGGTTAAAATGATAAAATCATTTGTAGTTCAGACACCTTACCATTAGAACTCATTGCTTCATTTTAATTTGCATAAGACTAATTACTAAATGTTAATCATGTTCATAGTTTGTAAATTGTGATACAAAGGTAGTATGGTTAGGTTGATCAAAAGTATTCATCATAACATGATAAAATCAAATGAAAAATTAATGATTTTTTTCATCATCTAATGCAGATATTTGTCAGTCAGACATTGGAATGTTCCTTTTGCAATGCATTTTTACTGGCAATTTTACGAAATATATAGTGATAAAAATCATGGCAGTAAAAAAATCATATAAATGAACACTTTAACTGTACAAAATAATGAGACATGAGTATTCCTTTTCTTACATACTAGTGACACGCACACATTAGTATTCCTTTAATTACTGACTAGTGACACAAACATTAACATGTATACTTTGATTTATCTGCCTTGACGCCATTCTTATCTGCTATCACAGACTGAGTCAGTGTCAAACCAAATATAAAAGCTCCTATTAAAATGAATGCACAGGCAAAAGCGGCTAACCCTTTTAATCTTCTCGTCCAGATGCCATCGTCTACTAGATTTTGTACTGCTGACATCATACACATTCCTGTTTAAAAAAATACTATATTAGTTTTAAAAAGTTAGCATTTAAAATTAAATGACAAGAAAATTTTCAAGTTCATTAACACAAAATGTTTTAAATGGACACTTGTCTTCTTGTTGAAGACCTCTGCATGTAGACCTCTAGTTATTTTAATTTTTTTTTATTATTATTCTGTTGGGTTCCATCCCCATATATTGACAGATACCCTATATTTTATTTTATGGATACTTCCTTACCTGGGAAGATAAATATAAAGACAGCAGCAAATGCCCCAAGTATCTGTATAACTACACCTATATTAGGTATAAACACTGCCAGTAGTAAAGTCAGTATGAACCAAATTATGGTGACTATGATTCGTCTGTTCTTCTCCGAGTCTTCTATTTCATGCAGACTCATTTTCCTGATATCAACCCATAAACTTACTAAGGCAGCCCTGAAATAAACAATACATAAAAAACAATGGTAAATGATAAATAATAACCAAATGTTCATACTTGTTATTAATTACAATGATTTTTTTTAAATAGTTCAAATCATGTTTCATGCAGCACTGAAGATATGTTTTGCTGTTTTGCTGTTGAAATTATAATGAATTTCTCACAATCATGGCAACTGTAAATCCTGTTAACTATAGTGCATAAATAATATATATATAAGGATAACTTTCATAACTATGAGGGGTGCTAATTTCTGGGTCATGACACTCCGACTTTCACAGTCAAATTTTAATCTGAATCTCGACTTTTAAGAGTCTTATAATTATTATTTTTGTGTTTCAAGAAGAGGTGTCATCTGAACTCCCTTGAACCACCTATCAATATCAGTGGGCTGACTCTCAATAAGTTTTAAAGTAACCTAACAATATACAACAACTTTCTGACATTAATGCCTTTGTTCTAGCATTTTCATTTTTGAGTTTCACAACTAGTAAAAATTGACAGAGATACAATTGAAATAAATTTCTTGAAGGATTATCATCAGTGTGATATCTCAGCCTTAAAATACATACAGTTATATATAACAACACAGTACGTTCAACAACCAGGTTAAAGTAAAACAATACTAAAGAATACAGGCTGTTACTGAGAGCATTCACAAAGTACTTAAGCTACTGAAAAAGATGTCATTTTGTCGTACCTTCTAAGGTTAGTAAAAAACACAACTGTTACATGTTAGTCTTGTTTTAAACTATATATAAATACCAAATTAAGTTATTAAAATAATTCAGACATTGATTTAACAACAAAAATATACTTATAATCTTTATCTATAAGTATAAAATTATTATAATTTATATTACTATAAAACATTGGGTTTGAAATAATCTTTACTTAATTTCTGCATGTGGAATCATACTTCCATGATAAATATATATATACAGTACTGTATTTGTGAAAAGAATCTTGCAAAACTTTTGACCAACTTATGAAATATGTATTTCTGTTTTTTTTAAATTCTATTCAAAAAATACAATGTTCATGGAAATCTCCAGACAACACTGTTAATGCTGATGATGGACATATCAAACCAACTTGACATGTAGAGTCTTTCCTACCTTTCCTTTAAAAATGCATTTAATGACCTTTTAAGTGGTATATTATTATTTTCAGGTATTAAATGACATCATTGGAAACATGCATACATTTACATATTGACACAACTGAGAAATGTACACTCTAAAAGTAGACAATGGAACAACACCATCAAGGAAAGCAAAGCTTATCAAAGAAAAGTTATCCAGTATGACACACATTTTGGTATGAGGATTTCCCTGAAAAATTCTTATGTCAAGGTCCAGGAGTATGAAGTGTACCAACTACACATGATGGCAAAGATCCTACTATTACTGTCACAACAAATCATCTCACATTTGTGTCCATTGTTGAACAGTTTCAATAATAATTTAATTTAAAATATTCTACATACCTTCCACAGAAAAGTAGAATGGGGTAGGTGGTATATGTCTTGAATGCAATTAGAATCACAGCAATTATCACCCATATATCTGGATCATATGACAGTAAGATGTCTGATGTTATGTTCTCACCAAAGGTCAAATATCCACATACAGCGGTACCTGTATAAGTCACTACACATAATAACATGGCACAGGAAATTGTTTTGGAAAACTCCTTCAGATTTCTATTCTGCATACAGGAATATATAGGTATTATACTAACATGGCACTGGAAATAAAAATATTTAAATTTGAAGGTTTTTTATTTACTTGGTACACACAGACGTTTTTGTTTCCTGTTGTTCCCAAACATTTAAAAAAGACAAATTTGATACTACCAATGAAAAAAAAGACCATAAGAAAACATTTGTTAACACTACAAGTTACTGCAAGATACTCAACAATGACAAAAATTCAGCAATAGTTGAAACAAAAACAAAATTTTGCCATCTTCACAATGTAGAAATAGTTAAATGTATTAAATAATACCAAAGAAAAAATAGATATAAATGATAAACATTGATTAGTGCTTGATTTCAGAGTACTTCATCATTTTTGTAAACATCTATTTTTAAGGATTTAAGTCATTTGTCAAGAATTAGGGCAAAATGCATATATGCTTGCATTTCAATCTCAATAAAATCTATTAAAAATTGAAAAAAAACTGTACTTATTTAAAAATAAAAATATATCTGATCAGATGCAAGAAAAAATTTTTGTAGGATTATTTTCACTGTAAGTGTGTCATAAATTCTTAATAACTAAAAATACATACTTGATTTTAATAGAAAATACTTACTTGATAAGCAAAACATATAGTTGGCACTACTAGAAACACATCAATAAAGTGGTCTGGCCTAAAATGTTAATAATCAACATCAACTATAGTTTTTCTTAGGTTAATCATCTTATTGTATGTATTAAATAGTCTGCAACTATAATAAATACTGTTGATTATTTTTGTGGATTTCTTGGAAAAAGGCTAACCATGAGTTTAAATGTTCAACAGAATAAAGTTTCTTTAGACTTGTATGTAGTATTTGTTATTACTATGATGAAATCAAGTATCCTATGAATATGTCTACGAATAATCATCAATTATCTAATACCTTTAACAAAGTTTAACAGTCTAGATCATGTAGATATTGCTAACATGTAGTCCATACATCATATGAAAATTATATATGCTATTTGCAAACTTTATTTTCTAATGTATATAGAATACTGAATTCAGAGAACCTACTCATTTGTTTTGTATTAAAGAGAATTTTATTTAACAGCAACACTAGTTTGGGTGTTGGTGTGTTTCACATTGCACTGATTAAACCCACCAAAATAGTATCAATTACTTTTGAATCTCTTACGTTTTCAAGATGGTAACCAGATTTCAAACAATTATGTTAATGCTAAGTGGAGAAATGTTTATGAATAAAGAAGACAATGTTTCCAAAGAAACTAAATCCTTAATGCTTTGAATATATTATTAAATGCCATACAGCTTAACAGGGAATTTAGAGTTTTAGACAGGATCTCAATAAGTGAAAGAATTGCTGAAAATTTTCATTAATCTGAGTTCCACTTTAAAGTCCTGGTACCTATAATTAACCTGTGCAGGTCTTTTTATTGTTATAAAAGCTATTCAATCAAACAACTGTGGTACAAATGTTTTAAACTTTGGTCTGTATTAGCAATTAACTGTTCTGATACAACAACAACTTGTGATAGGGTCTATGACTAAATTACTTAAATACTTACTTTGTTTTTATAGGACCTGGTGATGGATGTGATTTAAAATATTTGACAAAAACTAAAATCTCAACATACAATATGGCAAATACTCCAAGCATACTGTCAAAAGAGAGAAAACGATACAGAATAATTTACATTTTAAAATATAATGTGTCTGTTCAAAACATTAAATAAAATGCAATATGATCAAAATGTAAAATGATGAATCTAAACATAATTAGAAGGGAGTTGTGCAGTGTCCACAAATCAGGAGAACAATTTTCCTCACTTGGTTCATAAAAATAATTGCTGTTTTAGATGAATCTATGGCAAACTGGTTTCCCCACATTTAAATTTAAATAAAATGCTTCGCTGGGGCGCAGCTTGATACGACCGCAGAGGTCGAACCCTGAACAGTTGGGGCAAGTATGGACACAACATTCAAGCTTGATACAGCTCTGAATTTGGATTATTATTAAGTATTTGACACAGCATAGGTTTCTGACACAGAAAGAATGTGGTCTAAGAACTTGAATTTTTTTAATTTACCTATTATGGTCCAATGTCCAAAATCAAAATACATGGTTAGATTCAGCATATCAAAGAACCCTATATATTCAATTTTTGTTAAAATCAAACAAAGTTTAATTTTGGACCCCAACTTGGACAAACTTGAAAACTGGGCCCATAATCAAAAATCTAAACACATGTTTAGATTCAGCATATCAAAGAACCCCAAGAATTCAATTTTTGCTAAAATCAAACTAAGTTTAATTTTGGACCCTTTGGACCTTAATGTAGACCAATTTAAAAAACGGGACTTAAAATTAAAAATCTAAATACACAGTTAGATTTGGAATATCAAAGAACCCCAATAATTCAATTTTTGATGAAATCAAACAAAGTTTAATTTTGGACCCTTTTGACCTCAATATGAACCAATTTGATAGCGGGGCCCACAAATAAAAAATCGAAATTCATGGTTAGATTCAGCATATCAAAGAACCCCATATATTCAATTTTTGTTGAAATAAAAAAAAGTTTAATTTTGGACCCCAACTTGGACCAACTTGAAAACTGGGCCCATAATCAAAAATCTAAACACATGTTTAGATTCAGCATATCAAAGAACCGCAAGAATTCAATTTTTGTTAAAATCAAACTAAGTTTAATTTTGGACCCTTTGGACCTCAATGAAGACCAATTTAAAAAATGGGACCCAAATTAAAAATTCTAAAAACGCGGTTAGATTTGGCATATCAAAGAACCCCAATAATTCAATTTTTGATGAAATCAAACAAAGTTTAATTTTGGACCCTTTTGACCTCAATATGAACCAATTTGATAGCGGGGTCCACAAATAAAAAATCTAAATACATGGTTAGATTCAGCATATCAAAGAACCTCATATATTCAATTTTTGTTGAAATCAAACAAAGTTTAATTTTGGACCCAAATTTGGACCAACTTGAAAAGTGGGCCCATAATCAAAAATCTAAACACATGTTTAGATTCAGCATATCAAAGAACCCCATATATTCAATTTTTGTTGAAATTAAACAAAGTTTAAATACTGGACCCTATCTTGGACCAACTTGAAAACTGGGCCCATAATCAAAAATCTAAACACATGTTTAGATTCAGCATATCATACCCCAAGAATTCAATTTTTGTTAAATCAAACTAAGTTTAATTTTGGACCCTTTGGACCTTAATGTAGACCAATTTAAAAAACAGGACCCAAAATTAAAAATCTAAATACACGGTTAGATTTGGAATATCAAAGAACCCCAATAATTCAATTTTAGATGAAATCAAACAAAGTTAAATTTTGGACCCTTTTGACCTCAATATGAACCAATTTGATAACGGGGTCCACAAATAAAAAATCTAAATACATGGTTAGATTCAGCATATCAAAGAACCCCATATATTCAATTTTTGTTGAAATCAAACAATGTTTAATTTTGGACCCCAATTTGGACCAACTTGAAAACTGGGCCAAAAATCAAAAATCTAAATACACGTTTAGATTCAGCATATCAAAGAACCTCATATATTCAATTTTTGTTAAAATCAAACAAAGTTTAATTTTGGACCCTTTGGACCTTAATGTGGACCAATTTGAAAACTGGACCCAAAATTAAAAATCTAAATACACTGTTAGATTCGGCATAACAAATAAATAAATGTGATCAAAGATTTTACAAATCTAATGCTCCATACTGTGCAATTAAAGATTACTTCTTGAAATTTTTCAATATTTGAAATTTGAAAAAAAAATAATATTTTAAGAATAATTCTTTTTAATTTCTGAAATCTGAAATGAGAAAAAATTGACCCCCCACAATTTCTTTTTATCCCCCCCCCTTTTTTTCCCCCAAAAAATTCTTTCCCTCAAGATATGGCCATAATTTCAATTCAAATTTCCAATGGAGTTGGCAACCATAATTACCAATTTAAATTTACCATAGTGCTAACTTAATCTATTTTATAATAGAATTAAAAATATAGTGTCAAATCTTTCATATGGATTTTTTTGTAAAAAAAAAAGATGCAACATTTGCAGATATTTTTACTGGTCTTCCTTTATAAATATGCATTTCTTTAAACATAATTTAAAAGCAGTGTAAGGGAAGTAACCAAAACGTTGTATTTGGATTACCTCCCTTACACTGTTTTAAATTATCTTTATTGTTCATTAACCATTACTTTATACATAATTTAAAAGCAGTGTAAGGGAGATAATTTCAATGATGTATTTGATTTATCTCCCTTACACTGCTTTAAATTATGTTTTGTACTAAAGTTTTTGTCCATTAACCAGGACAACCTTGTTTTTCCCCCTTTTTTGCCCCTAATTCCTAAACGGTTTTAGCCATAACCCCCCAAAGCAAATCCTAACCATCCTTGGTGGTATGGAAACTTGTAGTATAATTTCAGAGAGATCCATACACCGTTCCACAGTTATTGTCTGGAAACTAGAAAATGCTTATTTTTGGCCCCTTTTTGGCCCCTAATTCCTTAACTGTTGGTACCATAACCCCCAAAATCAATCCCAACCTTCCTTTTGTGGTATTTAACCTTATGGTCAAATTTCAAAAAGATCCATTTACTTAAACTAAAGTTAGAGTGCGAAAACCAATGTGTCTTCGGACGACAACGACGACGCCAACGTCATACTAATATACGACCACAAAATTTTTTTGCAGTCGTATAAAAATAGGAGAAATATGCAATTCCTTTATAGATATCATTTTTTTTTGGGGGGGGGGGGGGGTGGGGGTTAATTTATTACCCATAAAATTTACTAAGTTTGGTTACTCAAAATTGTAAGAACTTTCACAGTATACAGACTTTATAAATAATCTTTACAACTATATATTTAGAAATACATCATGTACATGTAAGATACATTTGAATTACACATTTTTAAATACATATTTAGTGGTGCCTATTTTCAACATGAAACTCCATCAAACACCACCTAGCACATAATAATACCATTAAACACTTCTAATGTTAATTTATGCATGGTTTTTTTAAAGAACATTGAAGAGTATGTATATTTCCTTGGTATAGAAGACTAAAAAATTACCACCGAAATCATGTCTTTGTATATTAATAGTCTTGCCAAAAATAAACTTTTATTGTTTAGATGCAAAATTCCCTCTTTAAAAACAAATATCCCCTTTATTAGGACTGTTCTCTTCATAATTTTTCTTGTACACCTTAAATTGAAAAAATGATATCTGAGCATGTCAAAATGTTTCAACTTTGGGGTACTTAAGACTTTAACTTCAGTTTTTTAAAAGTATATACATGATATATACAGTACTGATTTATGTCACCAGCCAATGCTGCCATAGGCACAATTTTGTTCACAGTTGACATTAATGTACTGTTAAACCCCTTTTAATTTTCATTTAAAAAGCCTAAATGATAAGCAAATTTATTAGAGCTAATGTTTTTTATAAAATGTTTCACATTTATGTTACACATATTCTGTATGTGCTTTGAAGAGTGTGGTAAGTTGAGGGTATTTGTATGGTTATGCCGTAAAAAGATGTGGTCAGTTGTGGGTTTTTGTAGGGTTATGTGGCAAAAATATGTGCCCATTCACTGTTCATTCCATTCAAATTCATATATACTATTAAAAATAATTTTTCACTATAAAATAATAAATATATTCATACCTTGGATATTTAAGAAAATCAATCCTTTTAGGGAAGCATATAGGTAGAATAAACAGCAATGATGTCACACATATTGTACTGATTCTGTCCAAATACCATGGATTCTCTTTACAGTAAAAATCTTTGGCAACAAACAGTAAAACTGAAAAATATAAGTAAGATATCTGGTATTTTTCTATTTAAATTCATATGGGGCTTTTTTTCCAATGTTTAAATTTTTTTGTTTAAAGTTGTGTCGTGGTATTCTAAATTTTGTGTAATGTACAGATCAGCTTTAATTAACTGTCATTTTATTACTCAATTTTACCTGGAAGTCTTCCCAGTATAATTCCATACTGATACAATAAAAGTATTTCACTCTGTTAGATTTGTTTTAGTGTAAGTTTTTTTTTATGGATTTTTAAAAATGTTCTTATGATTGTAAAAAATATGGTGAAATGTTCATCCCTATCAAACTTACATTTATTACAAAAATGTACTGTAACATGATATTTTTTATATAAGAATTGAGTGCTTCTTTTTGTAATATTATTGGGTATAAAAGCATGGATTGAAGCATATTTGGTATGAAGCGCGGAAGTGGTTCATACTAAACATGAGCACACAATCAACGCTTTGACAACCCCATAAAATTATAAAAAGAAGCATTCAATTCTTTTATGCTACAACCACGAAATTAATAGTTATATCAAATATTTCATTCATTTTCCTTTGCATTGTTGTGACATTGCTTCAAGAAGCGCATGCTATCATAAATGTTGGATTTTATTTGGAAATTAAAACTAATTCTGGAAGCCTCTCAAATTGTTTTCAGCCAATCAAAAGCATGGATTCTTATGAAACATACATAGATATAAGAAGATGTGGTATGAGTGCCAATGAGAAAACTCTCCATCCAAGTCACAATTTGTAAAAGTTAACCATTATAGGTCAAAGTACGGCCTTCAACACAGAGCCTTGGCTCACACCGAACAGCAAGCTATTAAGGGCCCCAAAAATTACTAGTGTAAAACCTTTCAAACAAGAAAACCAACGGTCTAATATATATAAAAAACTGCTTCGCTAAGTGCAGCTGGATACGCCAGCAGAGGTCCAACCCTGAACAGTTGGGGCAAAAATGGACACAATATTCAAGCTTGATACAGGTCTGAATTTGGATTGTAATTAAATATTTGACATAATAAAGGTTTCTGAATAAATGTAGTCAAAGAACTTGAAATTGGTTATATGAATTGAATTTATATTCAATTAAAGATTTCTTGCTGTTGTGCAATACACTGTGCTGTTGCGCAATACTAAGTAAATAAACAAATAAAGTTCAATTTCTTCTCAATGTCATATTTGAAATTTATGAAAATCAATAGGGAGATTACATCAATAGCTATAAATAATTCATCAAAGTTTCATGAGAACTGATGAAAGCATTTTTGAGTTATTGTCGAAAAACTGGAAAATCCCCCCTTTTTTAATGAATAAAAAACCCTATAACTCATAAATGTAAAATCTAAAATTAAAAAATTCTAAAGGGAGCTTACATCAACAGATATAAACAATTCACCAAAGTTTCATGAGAACTGCTGAAAGCATTTTTTAGTTATTGTCAGAAAACTGGAAAATCCCCCTTTTTTTATGAATAAAACCCTGTAACCCGGAAACGTAAAATCTAAAATTCATAAAAATTGAAAGGGAGCTCATGTCAATAGATATAAACAATTCAACAAAATTTCTTGCAAGTTGGTGAAAGTATTCTTGAGTTATTGTCGGAAAACTGGAAAATCCGCCCTTTTTTAATGAATAAAACCCCAAAACTCGGAAACGGTAAATCTGAAATTTATAAAAAACGAAAGGGAGCTCACGTCAATAGATATAAACAATTCAATAAAGTTTCATGCATATTGGTTAAAGCGTTTTTGAGTTAATGTACGACATCTTGACGACGGACGGACATACAGACGGACGGACAGACGGATGGACAGACGGTCAACGGTATACCATAATACGTCCCGTAAACGGGTGTATAAAAACAAGAAAGGAGAAACACTTATGGACAACCACTGAACATCAGGTTCCTGACTTAGAACAGGTGCAAACAAATGCAACAGGTTTAAACGTTTTAAATGTACATGTAATGTAATTATTACATTTTGTTTGTTTACATTCACTCTTTCTTTCTGTCATAAGATAGTCACACAAGTTTTTTTTATGTCTAGACTAACACACTATGCATGCAATCAATTATGGTGGTAGTCTGCATAAAATTTAGAAATATAATCATTCAAAAAGAAGTTAAACAATTAATTTATGACATAATATTCAGCTTTTCATTTTTACTTACATTCTTCCCACTGGTCTCCTATGATAATTAAGAACGTTATACAAGTTCCAAAACAGTAAGTCATTACAACGAAGGCACACAATCTCTGTGCGTTTCTACCACAAACAGATAACACTACATCCTGGTATGTATCTGTACTTTTAATGTCAGAACAATAGGCCAGGATCAGTATTGCAAATATTACGAACACCAAAAATATCTAAAATAAAAACACTGGCATTATAAAATACTATAAAAATACATCGAATGATATTGTGTTTAAATTTTATGTCATCTTATAAGCCCAAGATTTCAATTTTTAAACTGGTCAAAAATTTAAATAACACTTTAACATGTTTAAGCCAGCTGGTTTTTCTAGAAAATTATAGACAATGACAAAATTTATTGAGTAATCAATAAACCCTTATTTGATGCTATTTATTGTATTTATTCATCTCAGTGTTGCCAATTTGGAGAATATATACCGTATCTTAAAATCAGAAAAGACAAAAAATATTGTTTTTTGTGTACATTAATATATATTTTAAATTTTATTTTGAATAAATGTGTGCTTAATTTTCCATTATGTTTTTAAATATTGCCTCAATCTAAATCAGATCAACATTTTTGAGTCACATTTTTTTTATTTTTATACAATGTATATATGTTTAAATTCATATCATACATGTGTCATAGCATACAATGCAAAAAAATACTTATTAAGTACTAGAAAACACTAATTTGTTTTGGAAGGTATGTTTAAAACTTTTACAACTGATGAGGAATACGAATGAATGTGTACATACTGCCTGTATAACTACTGCTATCATCACTCCACCAGCTTGTCTGTAGGAATCGGGGAAGTTTAAAAGACCAGCGCCTAATGCTGCATTCACTACCAAAAATACGGAGGCATACCATGACGATCCTACAATAACAATATATTAAACATAAAACAGAAACTATTATGTTTTTAACCAAAAAAATATAACCGCAAAACAAGATTATCCTACAATCTACGCAGAATGACAATTCAAATATTTATGTAAAACTCCTCAATCATACCAGGTTTATAATTTGTTACGTCAGACACACGTTTCATCTACATCAGACGTATAAGTAGCATTTGAATCAAAACAGTTAGAAGGCCATATCAAACAGAAAGTGGAGGAGCAACTATCATCATGATCATGAATACTGAAGTTGGCATGTACTGGTACATTTTCCATCATACTATGTTCACATAATTAAGACAGGATGAAAAAAACTAAAGTAAAATACTCATGTCTCATAACTTATAAAATATCGAAACATACAATTACCAATGTTGTTAATCAAAGTGCTAAGCTTGTAAGCACTGAGGGGTGAAGATTGCTTCCATTTTGTAATTTTAAATAAAACATTGAATTGTATTTTGCTAGGCAAATTAAATATTTGAATTTGAGTTATCTTCCTTTGTTCATGATTGTACATGTGTAGTTGAACTTATTTTTACAACAGATGGCCCGACAACACAGTTATTTCGTAGTGCATTTCTTTTAGACAATAATTTCAAATTAAAAAAATCGCACCTGCTCTATCTCAAAAAGATTTTTACAGTGTAGTGTACTACTATTGATACAAATAATATCAAAATTATAGAAACTTCTAACAGCTCTAACTCAAAATATTGACAGTTCTGTGTTAAGGGGGGCTAAAATTCAGTTTGACAGCTTCAGACATTCTAATTTTTGAACTTTTTTAACTGGACCAAAACACTACTTAACATAAAGATTCAGCACCCAAATTTTTTTAACATGTAATTTCATCCCCTTACTTAATATTTCATGCATAAAATATCAAGAAATAAATTGGGAAAGTGTATCAAAAAAAAATGCAAGTTATACACTGTTCACACTAGGGACTATATTCGTGGACAACGCAAAACCAAAGGACGATAACTGTGTCCTTGGACCTAATAGGATAGAAAGACTTGACCAATTTTTATAAAACTTTGCATGACTTAAGCTTAGGAAATTATAAGATAGTTGGCCAAGTTTCATGGCCATAGGATATATATTATAGAAACTAGGGTCATTTTAATATTGAAATTTGGATGTTTATTTTTGACGTTTAAATCAAATATTTTCAACTGTCAAGATTTTGGCCTAAAAAATTTAAATATTGCAAAAATTTGCTTTTTAAATACTCTTGAATATAATAAAATAAGTATTAAAAGCAACGGAACACTCATTTGATTTATCAGATTTATCACAGTTATTCAAAAGTCAAATTAATATGAGCCGGTGCCTGAAAATAGAGATTTTCGAATTAAGGGAAGCCTTACATAAACATGCATTTTTTTCAACCAATTTGAAGTTTTTGAAGTTTTTTAACCATACATTATTCTTCCATATATATTAAATGTACTTTAAATGTAAAGAAAAGTTACAAAAAGCATACCACATGAGTATAAAATGGTCTTAGGCCATGTAAGACTGAGAATTATTTAGAGTCGATTTAGGCCGTAGCCCATATTTACATATAAAAATGCACACAGAGGCTATAAGAAATGGAAATTTGTTACTTTTTGCTCATTTCTATGCTAAAATGTTATGATACAAGAAGTCTAATTGCAAAAGGACTCTTGAATTCAACTTTTTTTTGCAGACAGTATAGTCTGATGACCAGTTTTTCACTTTTCAATGGAAAACTTGCATGTAGTTTTAGTCTCAATTGGCATATATTTGAACCACTTACTATCCTAAAGAAGAAAATTATGGTAGCATATGAAATGAATAGGGTGTACTGATCATTGTAAAGTGTTTTTTTTACAGATTTAGTGAAATATTTGCGATGGACTACAGATTTTATGTACAAAGCTCTTCACATTTCACATACATCAAACAGGCCGTTTAACCAGGGACATTTATAAATACAAATATTCTGCACATTTTTTCTGTGATAATCTACTTTTCTCTAGATTCCGAGTTCACAAATGGTTAATTAAATTTGATTTAAGCATAGAAACACAAATATCAGGAACATAAAAAGCTGTCAGATAGAAATTCAGCATGGCTCTTAGGCATAAAATGGAAACTCATGCTTTAAAATGCTTATTTTAGCCGTATAATGCCAAAATGGGACATTTTAACAGAATTTCTGTCAAACAAAGATGTAAATCCTTTACTTTTATTGAGTTTGACAAATTGAAACCAGCAAACCATTCAGGAAAGTTGCTTAAGTACAGAATCTACATTTACGGAATTCATCTCTTAGACCCGAGAACACAGTTATTTCGTAGTGCATTTCTTTTGGACAATAATTTCAAATTAAAAAAATCGCACCTGCTCTATCTCAAAAAGATTTTTACAGTGTAGTGTACTACTACTGATACAAATAATATCAAAATTATAGAAACTTCTACCAGCTCTAACTCAAAATATTGACAGTTCTGTGTTAAGGGGGGCTAAAATTCAGTTTGACAGCTTCAGACATTCTAATTTTTGACCTTTTTTAACTGGACCAAATCACTACTTAACATAAAGATTCAGCACCCAAATTTTTTTAACATGTAATTTCATCCCCTTACTTAATATTTCACGTATAAAATATCAAGAAATAAATTGGGAAAGTGTATAAAAAAAATTGCAAGTTATACACTGTTCACACTAGGGACTATATTCGTAGACAACAAAACCAAAGGATGATAACTGTGTCCTTGGACCTGATTCATACACCATATACTAATATTACTTATGCAATTTTTAATGAGCAAATGTTTTCTTGACAAGTATGGTAATTCAAATACACATCATATTCATTGATATTGTAACTTAAATATCAAGGTATATCATATCATCAATAAATTGCATGACATTGACTGGAATAGGATCTAAATAATGATCACTTCACTGCACTATTTTGTTTGAACTATTAAAGGTAGAGATAAACCTTAGAAGATATAGATATCAAGTCAGTACCATAGGGTTTTGATAGCATTTCATGCAATCTTCACCCAAAAAACTGTAGTCCATTGTATCTGAAGACATTGAATCACACTTATGGAGTGTTTAAACAATATTATTTATAATATCTGAATACTTCAGTACTGGCATCAAAATACAGATATTGTTTTTATGAAATTTGTAAGGATAAAACTTAAATGTAGGAAATCCTTTGAATTAAAGAATGATTATAGCATAGCTCTGATTCCTTGTCTGGCTATATATATATATATGTATATAATTACTTTTTGATCTTTTTGGTTATTATCAGCTGTTCAACATTTGCAGTAGCATGATTAGGTTTTGGATTTATAAATATTTTGACCTCGAGCATCACTGAAGACATTGTTTGGCGTAAAGTGCATCTGGTGCAGCAACATCATATCATATCATTTAAACAAATATTTTTATCTGTACTTCATGTACTTATAATTAGAATAACTTTGGCCAAGACATGGAATCTGGCCAAGTTTGATTTAAATTTGCCCATCCTGTTCACTGGACAATTTGTTTTTTTTTATTGTAAACATCTGTGTTATCTTATCTATAACACAACTCAATATTCAATAGTAACAGACATATTTAATTATGGAAGGGTTCAGCAGGTAATGTACTGATACCACTTTTGCCCTTTTGAGTATAAAACATTAAATTGCATGTTCATGATGATTAGACAATAATAAATTTTAAATCTAAAAAATGCCTTTTCCAATACTTTTAAAAAGTATTTTATTGTGCATTATCAAGATAATAATCACACATTTTTCTCTACTTTTCATAAAAAAAGTAATCTGTTTATGATTTTGTCTATTAGCAGGATTTTACATGTGGATGGACTTGCCAAATAAGGAAATTTAAACTGAAAACAGCATGCCCACCCTCTTTTTACAGCTTGCCTCTATCCTTTAATACTTGACCCTTATCCTAGATAGGTTTTTTTTTCAAAGGATGGTGTATATGTAATCAATTGAATGTTTATGTTGCCCTTCACAAATTTTTTCTCATTGATTGATCACTTGTGTCTAAATTTTGAAATAAAGTACATATAAAGTTGTTTTGGCAAAAAAAAAAAAAAACAAACAAGAGGCTCACAACAGCCTGAATCTCTCACCTGCTAAACATATGCCATTTTGATATTAATTTTTAGGTTTATGCAATCGCTTAATTTTTCGTATATCTTGTATTGCTGATAATTTTAACAGTGTACTGTTAGGTATATCTTTTAAACAAGAACACAAAAATTAGTCAAAAATAGTAATTTTGGCTTTTTTTGTATATCCTGTATTCATGGTTCATGGTATTGCTGATCATCTTTGTTTAAACAACCTTAAAAAGATGTTTTCTAATTTTTATTGACTTTTATATTAAAAATCACTTTTAATGTCAAAATAGATTATGAATTGAAACTAATTTTTCTACATGTTCTAAAAAAATGTACAATTTCAACATGTTTTCAAAGATTTTCAGGAATTAAGGTGATCATGTTAATAGATGCAGTCTAAATCACCTATTGCTGTGTAGATATGTATTGTCTATCGTCTGTGTGATTTAATACATGAACATATCACTTTAATATTACATGAGGGTAACATCTCAAAACATTTTCCCAACTCAGTTTATTATGACACTTTATGTAGGAATGGAGGGGGAGCTATTTATCAGAACCTTTAAGGGAGAGAATTGTAGATTTAACAGGTAACAGTCAAGGGTACTACTTGTACAAGTAATCTTTATTTACTTGAAGAAGTAAATAATGATATACTGATACATACATTGTACAAGTAAATTATAATGTGTGAATAATCTCCCCTTTATTTTCTCAAAAATTTACTTGTACAAGTAATTTTTTTTTACAATCCCGAAAAATTCTCAAGTTTTGAGATGTAAAAACATGCCTTTAACAATTTTTCTCAGGTTAGCTCATAATTTTTTATTAGAGTTCAATGGATCATCTCATTAATTCAACAAAGAAACTAATTGCGCAAAGATCTTCAGTATTTGTGCAAGGCCTTCAAAAATTGCCCCATTGGGGGCTTGTAAATGAGCAGTGTTCAGAAAGATAATAGACAAATGACATTTTCATTGTCCATGAAATTACACTTAAATGATTAGTAAAGACATCTGCAAAGGACAGACAATTAAAATTCTATTAGAGCAAAGAAGTCCAAAGAAATTCAAGAAAAGAAGATAGGATGACTTTTTTACTTGTACATTTTGTATAAGTGAAAAATTCTGAATGTCTAAGGGACATAACTAAGCCAATTTTTTTTTTACCTATACAAGTAAATAAAATACACTTTTATACATGGTATAAGTATCCTACAAATTTACTTATATAAGTATATTAATATTTACTTCTTCCAGTAAATAAAAATTACTTGTACAAGTATAGTACCCCTGACTGGGTAAGGGACAATTATTATATAACACCAAAAGGGGAATAATTCCCAAATGAGTAACTATCCCTTAAATAACAAATGAATGAGGGATATCACCTTTTTTAATACCCAAAATAAGATATATGGTTCTATTGGAAAAATTGTTCCATTTTCTATCAATTTGAGGCATTTTAAGTAAAAAGACTTGTCTAAAAGATTTTTCATTCTTACTTATCACTTTAAAAATATAACTCAGTTGTGGGATTGTTACTCATTTTGGTGAACTAATCCCAATTGTACACTTTTTCGTCCTGAACATACATGAGATATTTGTCACTGGACGTTAAGGGATTTTTTTTTTTACATAATTTGATTGGCTGTCCCACCCATATATACCTGACCTGTTGGATGTTTATTTTGGGAAGTTACATTATGCCACCCTGTCCCTGTGTCCATACACTTCAAATTATACTAAGCAATATTTGTATGGTATTATGGTAACTTCACAAACGTTGACGTACCTCTTACTGTCCTGTTTCCCGAATATGTTAGTATTGTTGCTTTATCCAGCAACGAATTCAACTCCCCTTCATCTATACTTGCATTTACTGAATAGTTTCTGTTTTGAATCGAAGTCATTTTGAATAATACAATGTTAGTTTTTTAATCCTTAATTATGATGATTAAGTCATTCTGTTGAATATATCCCTCTAGATCTTCAGTGTACCATTGACAAACGGTCAGGAGGCAGACATTTTGAACCATCACGTGACAATGACAAGAGGCGTACTGAGAAAGTAAATGATAACAGCATTCTTGACACCTAATAATCCAGTATTCATAGCAACTCACTACTTTCGCTCGTATAACCTTGATGATAACCTTTGGAATAAACGCGGCGCAGATTTCCACCCTGATTATAAGTTACATAAAATTATCTTTTCTATTGTTTTATATTTTGGACCGACTGTGACAATATTTGGGGATGGAAATAATTAAACTCATCATATGAAAATGATTAATAAACTGTTTGTAATTATATCTCTAACCAATTATACGCATTGGTTTTTATGGTATGATAATGAACACTTACAAATATAAACCTATTGAATAACAACTGTCCAGGTAAAATGACGAGAACAGATGTTATACTGGGATTTCCAGACTATGATATTGCGTATACTATGACGAAATGAACACCAATCCAATGACAAACAACCCACCAACAAGGAAACCCCCAAATGTATAGAAGAGCAAAATGAGAGAGCATAAAGAAATATACTAGATAGTATGAATTTGCTATATATTAGATAAGAAAGCCTGAACAAAATGGCAAATATCAATAATATCTGGAATATATGTTTAAGGGAGGCATTGCAATCAGTACAAACCAACATATACCTTCCAAAACATGCAAGACAAAAGATAAAAAAACGATGGATAACCGAGGAAATTAAAAAAGAACTTACAATGCGAGAGACCGAGCCTTCAAAAAGACAAGAATCAAACCACCCTTCAGATATCAAAAGATATGACGGCAACTAAAGCAAACGTTCAAAGAAAATCAAGAAAAGCTTATTGGAAATATACAGAAGACATCATAACTCAATAAGATAAGGAAGACACCAATTCATCATTGAAAAGATTCAAAGCCTACATCAAACATAAGACACCGATCCTATAAATGAAGTTAACAGTCATGTCCTAATCATCAATTCCAATCCGTCTTCTCCGCGTGTCCAATCAGTAAAAGAGAATTCGATAGATAACAACTAATGCTGGATCCACCAAAAAATATCCAAGCAGCGAAAATATTATCATAAAAAATTATGGAGTAGAAAAAAACAAACTGAAAATTCTTAATCCATACAAGGATGCTGGACCAGGCAACAAATATAAAATCGCCACAACAAAGTCACTTGAGACATTCAAGTCTCAAGTGACCAACGCAACTAAATACATGAAATAACCATATCAGCAATATTGTTTTTTAAGAAGAAGAAGAAGAAGAAGACAGCTGTAGTTTTGTATGGAATGATAGACTCAATGTTGATTAACTGTGAATAATAAATATTTGAAGTTTCTTATAGTCTCATAAAAGAAGTTTGGAAGAGATATCTTCCCTAGAAAATAAAATTGAGAGCAAAGGTTTTATTACTATCAAAATCCTTGTTGAGAGAACCAATTAAATTCACCCTTACATATTGCAAAGGTATGGCTTTTAAGTAAGTTTAGCTGCAGTATTAATTGCCATGGCAAATACAGAACGCTTCATCTTTATTCTGTAATTTTAATACAAAGTCATGAATTAAGGATTATCGATACAATTTGGAAATTTTGAGCGCACGAAAAGTTTTAAACGATTTTGACCGAAGCAACCAGCACATGGCATAAAATAGAAGTGAATGGAATGTATTGAAAGGAATAGATTTGAATATCATTGAACAGAATAGCATACAAGTTTTAAGTTTTTTTAAAAAAACTTTGTAGTGCTTCGCTTGTCATACTTTAAGTAAGATGTGGTCTGTGTGATTGTTTAAGTATGGGAAAGGTGTTACTTGGTAAATAAATCAATTTATTACGAATACTATTCTTTTACAAATATTTTGCGTATTAATTAAATATATTTGATATAATATGTGTGTATGTGTTGTATTGTTTAATATATGTTACTACTTAAAAGTAACATAATTTTTCTGTTTTGTAGAGAGTATTTTATTTTTCCTGCAATTTCACATTGACTTAAATGTTAAGTTTTTTTTTTATCACAGTTGTATTTTATTTTTGAAAGAAATCGATAACGTGATGCAAAGCACGTGATGCGAAGCAAAAATGGAATTCACAAAGTGAATAGAGCAGAGAACATAATTGAATTCACAAAGTTAATAGAAAAGAAAAGAGACGAGAAAAGAATAGAATCTCCAAAGTTAATATAGAAGAGAATAGGATTGAATTCACAATGTGAACAAAGAATAGAATAACATAGAATAGGCCAAAATCATTTATTTTGTAAAACTTATTCCCATACTCCATGTATACCTTACAACAAAATTATTTTTATTTACCTGTGTACGTTATTTTGTTTGTCGGCATTTTGTCCAAGGTTATGGTTGTCTTTCTGATATTGTTTTACATCTAACCCCCTTGTTTTATTAATTTTGTATTTACATTGTGTCATAGATCAAATTTATTCGTTCAGTGTATGTTCACTTGTTTTTGTTAATATGTCTTTTGATTGAGTTAAGCCATTTCAATTGATATTTTATAGTGTGTCTTTTTATGTTGTGATATTACACTATTGTTTCAGGTAGGGTGAAGGTTGGCGCCTATTTAAACGTTTAAACCCGCTGCATTTGTTTGCACCTGTCCTAAGTCAGGGACCTGATGTTCAGTGGTTGTCGTTTGTTGATGTGGTTCATAAGTGTTTCTCGTTTCTTTTTTTTTATATAGATTAGACCGTTGGTTTTCCTGTTTGAATGGTTTTACACTGTTCATTTTGGGGCCCTTTATAGCTTGCTGTTCGGTGTGAGCCAAGGCTCCGTGTTGAAGGCCGTACTTTGACCTATGATGGCTTACTTTTACAAATTGTGACTTGGATGGAGAGTTGTCTCATTGGCCTTCATACCACATCTTCTTATATCTAAGTAGAATAATATTCACATAGACAGTGTTCACCATTCTACTACACGTACATTGCCGGAAAATCCCCATTTCTACGAGATTTAGAAACGGGAATAACAGCAAGGCTCGCCGAGCCTTTGATTTTTTCGGTTTTGTAGAAGGTATTTTTCCAACAATTTTACATTGACGATTTTCAATATGTTAAGTTTTTTTATCACAGTCGTTATATCTTATTTTTTTTAAAGAGAAATCGATACTGTTAAGACGTGGACATAGAAGAGGCCCTAACATGAACTTTTAAGCAGGATACCAGGAGACTATATTTTAAATGTCAAACAATATAAAAATAAAGAGATGTGGTATGTGGTATGATTGCAAAGAGACAACTATCCACATAAGTTCAAATGAAGCGGATGTAAGAAATTATAGATCACCGTACGGCCTTCAACAAGTGAACGAATATAAAAAGCCCTGACATGAAAAATATGAAACAAATGAGAAAACTAACGGCCTAATTTATAACAAACAACAATTTACGAAAAACAAATATAACAGACACGACCCAACGACAACCACTGAAGATCAGGCTCCTGACTTGGGACAGGTTTTTTTAACACTTGTATTTGTAAATGAAAACGGACGATTGTAGGACTGATGAACATAAAAAAAAATGCATTAACTCAACGAGACTAACTATTTGCTAGGAATAAAAAGGTGACAGAAAAAAGTAGATTTATTATATGCATTGCATATCTTCTTAAAAGAAGTTTTGAAATGATAAAACAAATCCCCTTAAATGATCTTCCAATGATTCCAAAACAAATCCCCTTAAATGATCTTCCAATGATTCCACATATCATGTAGAATATAACCAGAAGATTTATGTGCATAGGTTGTTAGTTTCCGTTATGCTCGTACCATTAAAAGTAGATACAGGGGACATCTAACATCGGACAACATTTCCGAAAGATATTATGATTACTGTATTAATTTTAACAATGTCATCCATACATGAAGGTGACAGTGTAGATCAATGATGACTGTAAATGTTTACTACTTAATTCCATGTGTTGTAGGAAGTCATTTAGGCTGACTGTATCATTAACTAGTCACCACTTTCACTACATATACAGAAACGGTCATTTAATATGACAAATTTTATTATGACCGCAACCTAAAAATGAAATTTCAGCCAGAGGAAAAACATACGGTCTTCAATTACTAACTAGCATCAATACTATGCAACGCAAATCTCTTACAAACAAATTAGACTATTTGAAAAAAACAATTGCACAATAACACTATGGGGGTTCCAACCCCCGGAATATCCCCTGGATCCACCACTGCATTGTATTGTATTGTGACTAAACCTGTGTTTTTTTTTACAGAAAAACAAACATTCAACAAAAATAATGTAGAACTTAAATAGGAAAGATGTAGAAACTGCGTTCAGAAGACCTGGCTAGCCATGAATGTCGACGATGTTAATGAGTAGACTCCGTTGATGGTTAAAGGACTTCTCTGAAGTCATATCTTGTATATCGGACCTACGGATCCTGTATAAACCAAAGGGACTCGGTAAGCAGATTAAAATGTTAGTAATCAATGTTTTTCAAATTCTTTTTTTTGTATTTCCTGTTTATTTGCATTACATTATTAACGTAAGTAACGTAAATGCGTTAGTAATGTTATACAAATAGACAGGAAATACTAAAAAAAGAAATTGAAAAACATTGATTAAAACATTTTTAATCTGCTATGAACCGAGTCCCTGTGGTAAAACGTATAGCGTAATTAAGGTTGAGTTCTATGTTCAAACAATGACATCCCTGCATGAGAGTGACTTTATAACAATGACATCCCTGCATGGGAGTGACTTTTTAAACAATGACATCCCTGTATGAGAGTGACTTTATAACAATGACATCCCTGCATGGGAGTGACTTTTTAAACAATGACATCCCTGCATGAGAGTGACTTTTTAAATAATGACATCCCTGTATGAGAGTGACTTTTTAAATAATGACATCCCTGCATGAGAGTGACTTTTTAAACAATGACATCCCTGCATTAGATTGACTTTATAACAATGACATCCCTGCATGAGTGACTTTTTAAACAATGACATCCCTGCACGAGAGTGACT